AAATGATACCAGATGGAATGATGATTTGTGACAGTTGGAGATGCCCCCCCCCCCCTCACACACAAACAATAGCATTTTGAATCAAGTGTGTACATGCCACCCCTCCCAATAAACTTTAGCAACATTTCAAAGATAAAAGACTGATGTTGATATAATTCAGTACAAAGATGAAAAATGGAATTTTTTGCAAGGGTTAATATAGTATGGTAATTACATAGAGATACATGTATGTGATGGCTTGATAGCATATACTTTGATCAGCATTAGTCAAGTTTTGAAATCACTTTATCCCGCAGCAAATTTTTTTACCAAGCGCTGGGATATGTCAGGTCTCAAACAATTATATCCCAGCGTTGTCAAAAAAAAAAATTACGGGACAGTGGGTTTGAAAACCTGACTGTCCCGTAGCTCAGTGCTACAAAGTGCTCATACGGGATAAAGGTGTTTGACTTCGTGAATATCCCGCGAGCCCTATAAAATTACGTGACAAGTGTAACTTCGATTCATCATATCCCGATCTGTGAAAAACATTTGTCGGGGTCGGGACTAATAATCAGATCTGCATTTTGACCCGCGATTCAAAGACCTGACGAAACCGCTGCTGTCCATCTCTCAGATTGCTAACATTGGCTTCCAGCTGAGTCTCATTTGTATGATGAACTTTTTACAAATATTGCTTTCAAATGGTCATTAACAGATTAAGGTAGAAGTCTAAGAGGCTTTATCAGGTGATTATTGGGCATTGTATAGAAAGGTTTGATGTCAAAACACTCCATTGTAAGATTTGTTTTTTGCTTTGTGAATTGGTCCATTGTGGAGATGCAATATTAACTTTCCTACTAATGGCCAGGGACCATTCTTCTCGGCACTTGTATAATATTTCTTTCATCATACTGGTTAGTGGCATAACATAGTTCTGATATGTAGCAATGATATCATTATATAAAAGAAAACACTATGGTAGCAATAATACAATGATGAACAAAACAAAACATAGAGAGAAAATACAACAAAAAACACTCTTTCAAATGGTTGTCTTTTAGCAATTTTTCACTTTTTAGCGTTGTTGTGGAACTGCTCCGCATACCTCTCACATCCGTAACCATAACAACCGTAACTTGAACATATTTAGACTATATGTGGTGAAAGTTGGTAGATATATTGTAATATTGTTCCTCTACAATCTGTAGCAATTTCGTTTCGAAAAACCAAAATTTCTAAAAATAAGAGTATTTGTATCTTTACTTTCCGGACACCCTGTATATGAGCCACTCATGTGAAACCATTAAAATAAACGGGAAAATAAAGAGGATGATTAATTTCATTAATTTGAAGTTTATTTAATGATGCTTTTGTTTTATTCGTGTTTTTTGTTTTATTCATGTTTTTTTGTTTTATTCATGTTTTTTGTTATATTCATGTTTTTGTTTTATTCATGTTTTTTTGTTCAATGAATTTGACTTTGCGCCTAAGTAGTGGATGACGACTTGACTTGTTCCAGACTTGCATTTTTATGAAATATATACAGTATTTGGGTGTTGATGAACGCAGGCTAGTGTTTTCAGTTTTGGACTGAAGAGGCAATTTAAATTGAGGTAACGTCTGAATTAACGAATTTACAAAGATTGAATTGGCCATCTGATATCAATGACACAGGTACGACGTCAGGGGTTACCGCATATAAAGTATAATAGATATTGTATGTATGATAGCCAAACTACAAAATAAACCAAAACATGCAACTGGTCTTGCACATATGTTTCTATTTTTTCTTTATTATACTGTTGCAGTGTGGTCATTTGATTGCTTATTTTGATTCAAAGTCACTCAATGGAATTATGAATCTTTCTATTGTTCTTTTATTTCTATTTTATCTATCCAATCCCCATTGAAATTCCTTGTTTACAATTGACAATTATATGATTATTGCAGAACACAGACAGTGAAGAACAATGAGACAAGTTCGATGTATGAAACAAAACATATTTGTGCATTGATGCAATTGCATTTTATGCGTATAGTGCATCAATACAGTACCCGTGTATGTATCATTTATCTAATTGGCCATAGATATACGTATTCGCGTATGTTTGGTAATGCACATCAATGGGCTAAAAGCATATAGCATAAATGATCATTGAACATATTTGCGCATCTTCTTACACTGAGAAGATTGTACAATTCACATAGATATGCATCGATGGTTATTTTAATACTTTGGTGCAGTGAATGAGAACATAAATTGTACTTATATACAAAACAGACCGACTGATACAACCAACTGACCTAATATTTACAAATAATGCAACCTTTTATTGTTGGCCTATTACTGAATGTATAGTTAGAATTTGCTTTGAGACATCAGGCCCGTAAGACACTTTTCTCCAAGGGGGGTGCGTTTTTTAGCTTACTAAAGAGAATATAAAATTGTCAATTTTTTTTGCCGCGTAAATCAAATCGCGTAAGTCAGAGGGGGGGGGGGCTCAGTTACTCCCTATATTGGTTTGGAATTAACAAATGCAACTTCCAAACGTTCCAATTGTTTTGTGGGGGGGGGGGGTGAGGAGTGGTCCACTCCCCCTAGAAAATTTTACAGTTTTGAGATGAAGTATTTGGTGCTTTCTGGGCACTTTCAAAGTGTAAGTTTCCAAGTAGTGCGCCACCACCACGGGAATAATTGAGTTGAGTGAATAATAAAAATCCGAGCATTCAGGGGGTCTGGGGGTTCTCCCCCAGGATAATTTTTGAATTTTGGTTGTATTTGGAGCGAATTTGCAACCATCTGGTACGCCTGTGCGTTATGAGTCAATAAGAAAAATGTAATTTTTTTTCAAATTCTTTTGGGGGTGTCAAAGAGGATGAGAGGGTGAAGTGGGGTGGGGTGCAAGTAGGGGAGCAAGGGGTTGTCCCCAGAAACATTGACCATATCAAGGTGCTATTTGATGATGTCTGGGCACTTAAAAATGTCTGAGACAATACATGAAATTCAGAATATTTTCTTTTGTTTTGTGGGGGATGTGAGGGGTGGCTCACTCTCCTAGAAAATTTTTACAATTTAAAGATGATATTTGGTGCTTCTGGGCACTTTTAAAGTGTATTAGTCAATAAAAACATTGAAAAACAATCAATTTTTTTCAAATTTTGGGGGTGTCAAAGGGAGGGGGTGCCAGAGGGGGAGGTGGGGCTGGGGTGCCAGAGGGGGAGCAAGTGTTTGTCCCCCATATCAAAATTTACAATATCAAAGTGCTATTCGATGAAGTTTGGGCACTTTAAAATTGTCTGTGCCTAAAAGTGTCTGAGACAAAACACTAAAATAAATTTAGAACTTTTCCATTGTTTTGTGGGGGGTGTGAGGGGTGACCAATACCCCTAGAAAATTTACAATTTTAATATGCTATTTGGTGCTTTCTGGGTACTTTCAATTTTTTCTTTTTTTTTGGGGGGGGGCGGGGTTAAGGGGGGGGGGGCTGCAAGAGGGGGTGGTGGAGTGGGGATGCCAGAAGGCGAGTAAGTGTTAGTCTTTCAGAATCATTAACTTTATCAAGGAGCTATTTGATGATGTCTGGGCAATTAAAAAGTGTCTGAGACAATACATAAAACAAATTCAGAACTTTTTCATTGTTTTGTTTGGGGTGTGAGATGTGGCCCACTCCCCCTAGAAAATTTTACAATTTTACGACGCTATTTAGTGCTTTCTGGGCACTTTCAAAGTGTATGAGTCAATTAAGAATTTGAGAAAATCACAATTTTTTTTGGAGGGGGGGTCAAGGGGGGGGGGGGGCGCCAGAGGCGGGGGGTTATGCAAGTGCAAGAGGGGGAGCAAGTCCCCTAGAAACACTAACTATATCAAGGAGCTATTTGATGATGTCTGGGCACTTTAAAAGTGTCTGAGACAAAACACAAAAATAAATTTAGAACTTTTCCATTGTTTTGTGGGGGGTGTGAGGGGTGGCCAATACCCCTAGAAAATTTTACAATTTTAAGATGCTATTTGGTGCTTTCTGGGTACTTTCAAAGTGTATGAGTCAATGAAAAAAAATTTAAAAAAAAAAAAAAATTTAAAAAAAAAATTTTTCAAATTTTTTTTTTCAAATTTATTTTGGGGGTGACAAAGGGGGGTGCGGTCGCACCCATCGCACCCCCCCATCTGACGGCCCTGGACATGTTCTATTTCCTAAAAGGAAAAGTATATTCCCCAAGGGACTTAAATTCAATACTGAATTTGGATGACCAACATGAGGTAAAACCAATGGATAGCATTAGTTATTTCAACACTTATCTAATAGGAATTAATTCAGTTTTCCTTTACAACTATTTGATACATTATTTTTTGTAAAAAATGATTGCCCTTTTGGTGAATATGAGGTTAACATCTTTGGAATTAACAAAGGGCCAGTGATGAGTTGATTGTTACACATGTAGCTTAGGCCTATTAATATCTTGAGTCCGATTGACTTTGTCCATGGGCATTCTATTGAAAGCCCATGCTTTATCAATATATAATTTTCTTTGAGATGAGCTGATCTAAACGATATAAACCTGTCTTCTTGGTCAGAAAATAGTCATACTCCAAAATACTTGACCGTCTTAAATTGTTTGCCGATAACCCTATCATGAACTCTAGGCACCTTGTCAATTCCCATTTTCGCATATTATAGCATCCCAACAAACAAACAAACAAAAGTGAAATTAATCATTGTATTCCTTTCGGTTCTTGTGATTCCATACAGAAAATGTTTTAAAATTGTCGCGATGCTGCAAGATTCTCGGGCATCGGCATGGGGCAAGCCCAAATCATGATCTATATATACTCCCTTCTCTCCAAAGTCGGTATGCAGCTATAATTTGGGGTGAGCCCAAATCATACTTTCTTTTGTACAGTTATTGATCATGATTCGGGCTTGCCCCAAATTATAACCGCATACTGATTGTGCCTATCATACATGTACGTACTTGCATTATACGTATTTCGTGATTATCGTAGTACAGTCCATCATATGCAGCCATGGCTACTTCCGGTGAAGAAAAATCTAGTGAAAAGGTTCCAAAGTACTTAAAATCTCTTCACGAGAGGGATCAACAGAAACGTTTGATAGTCGTATTGGAACAAGCATCTCTAGAGACTGTCAAGGTATAATAATATTTTGAAAGTTGGCTCCATTATCCCGATAATTCACGAATGTTTTGAACACGTTTGGTTATTACTCTATTATCGCCCAAATTTTTAATTTTTTAAATTTGTTTGTTAGTATTACGGGAAAATGTTTTTGGCTTGCAGACGAAGATGACCGAAGAGTCCCACGACGACCATCTGATTCAGTTTTGACCTTCAGTCAGTTTTGACAGACCTGTCTAAAGCCAGCTGAGGAATGGTTTACATAGACAATTTTAGGGAATTGTTCTCTCTAACTTCCACCAAGAGCGGCAGTATAATATATTTAAGATAATTGAGTATTACTTGCCTCATTCATACCGAGTAATGATCCTAATTGTTGTGTTATTTGTATTATGTTATGGTCGTACAGTAGGCCTACACTCCAACAATTGTCAGGCAGTGTTTCTACAACATTTGAGAAAGTACTATGCATTGCACACTTATATGACATACCTCGATACCAGGGCTGTCAAATGTCCCGAGAATTTGATCAAAATTTGACTAATTTGCGCACAGTCAGAGAGAATGTTTCTGGCGAAATTCTGGGATTTCAAATATTTGAAGTTGGGAAACCGGAAAGGCTTACCTTTTTTAATTCCCGAATCTCACCGAATCTCTCCGAAATTAGCTCATCTTGGTGACTGTAAATTGCACAGCTGTATTCAATGGAGTCTTGTCATATTCAATCAGCCTCAATTTTAAAGTGTATATTTTATTGTCAACGTGATTTCATCGTTTTTTGTCGACTGGTAAGAATACGCCGGGCAAATGGCAAGATGGATGACTTTTGACCTGACCTACACTGACGGCGGTGACGTCATCAATTTTATCTATACAAATTCTATTTGGTCACGTGACCTTGTGCCAGAAGTCCGACTTTTTGGTCAGTCGACCTGTTCAAAGTACATTATTTTCTATCTACGTCGATTACAAAGCATCTAAGGTACGTAAATTTATATGAACAACTGAGTCAATAGGGATAAATAGCCCAACGAGTGTCGGCGGTCTTAAAAAATACTTTGATCTGGATGCCAGTCCTGGTATAGATATAGTTCCAGGGCAGTTCGAAGAACGTGTTAGATGTCCGTGAATTTGCGTGTCCCGCAATGTCCCGCAAAGTCCCGCAAATGTCGGCTTTGACCTCCGCGAATTTTCAAAATTTAATCCCCGAGGCTAAATAATTGTGATTATCTTGTGATATAAGAAGCTAAGTTTTTTGCGCTTTTGAGGAGTAAAGTTTACCTAATTTCAAAAGTGTTGCCAAACTCCAAGTGCATCAGATCATCGAAGACTGCTTTAGACAAGAGCATAAAACTGTGATTTTGAACCAAATAAGACCAAAGACGGAGGGTGGGATTTATATATCTTTACGATGGAACAAATTCACAAGAACTCGTGTATTTGAAAAAACTAAACTCAGTACCCCAGTAAGAAACTGGATATTATATCTCTGGACAATGGAAAATTGGAAAATTTGGAGTCATAAGAATGAATTCAAGTAGCATGTCTTACCATGTCTTATATACACGTCATGGGCGTAGCGCTATTTTTCTAAGTAGTACGCCGCCACCATCGGAACAAGAGTTGAGTGGATCAAAAAACGAGCATTCAGGGGGATCTGGGGGTTCTCCCCCGGGTAAATTTTGAAATTTGGTTGTATTTGGAGCGAATTTGCAACCATCTGGTACGCCTGTGCGTACCCAGCGTACTGGGCGCTACGCCCATGCACGTGATCCCACCTCTCCATCCCAAATTAATTTATTTCGATTATTTTTTGTATAACGCATGGAAACTAACTTTGAAATGTGAGCAATGTCATAAGTATTGTGATAATATCGTCCCTTATACCTATTTAGTACAGGTCGTGAAGACCATTGTTGCCCGATTTATACAGCAAAAACATTGACTTTTGCACGTTTGTGATGATGCGCCTTTTTTAATAGATCTCATCAGTGTTCTCCCCAAAAAAACTCAACTGGGTGCAAGATTTCAAGTCTGAAAAAATCAGCACTCGCTACGCTCACAATATCTCAGTGTAGGTGCTTACTTCACTCATTTTTCAAATCAGAAGTTGAAGTGCAGATTCCAACTGGGTGCCAACTGGGGGGCCTTTGGTTTCAAGTAGGGGGAGCCCCCGGTAAAAGTGACATGGGGAGATCACTGCTCATATTTTAAAAGGGTATCAGTTCAAAAAAAATACTAGATGACCTAACATATTTTGCCATGCACTGTGCCTATTCATTTGGCAATTCAGTTGTAAATTTTCTCTTGAAAAAATAAATTTTCCCAATTAGTTGAGTTTCCTTGCAGAAATCGCCTTATCCCCCTCCATCATTTTTGTACGATCACCGGGCGTGAAGGTATGTTGTTTTGATTTGCAATGTACCCCAAATAATGCTTTGTAACTATATTCGAAAACTTATGTATACAATATCCTTTACTTTCTACTTTTCTATGATCTGCTTTTGAATCTTGCAAAACCATTTCCCATTATATAAGATTTCTCCATCTACTTTCAGGTTGGCAAACAGCATGAACTTCTCAACTGTGACAAACACAAACATCTCATGAAAAAATACAAAAAAGACACATCAAAATGCAGACCAGATATCACTCATCAGGTACAATGAGTTGCATTTCTCATTATATTGGCAGTTCTGAGATGTATGCAATACACTCATGAATTAAATTAAAGTAGGGTTCTGTTAATCAAAAATGTTATAATTTACTGTACATCTAAGTTTGCAGAGTTATAAGTCATGTACCGTAAATAAACTGTGTACACGTGCATGCACATGTATGTATAGCTAAAACTCTGATCAGCTTATTCGCTGTTTGTTTTGAGGATGAAAACATTGACTCAATTGGAGATTCCCATCCATCAGTTCATGCTCATACCATAGTATTTTGATTTAATTTTACCATACTTCATAAAAGAGTTAAAATTTGGGAGAATATACACATATATGCATATGGCTTTTGTTTAATTTGTATTGAAAGATGTCACTAGTGACACTCATATTTTGTACCTGTGTTTCATCTTACAGTGTCTGCTGATGTTAATGGACAGTCCTCTAAATCGTGCAGGATTGCTTCAAGTCTATATTCACACAGAGAAAAATGTCCTTATTGAAATTAATCCGCAAACTAGGATACCTAGAACGTTTGACAGATTCTGTGGGCTTATGGGTAAGTGCAACCTTTGTTTATAAAACATCTGTGATAAAAATCTTTGAGACACAAATGATAATATATAAATGCATTTTCTTAAGAAAACATTTGAAAATAAATGTTTTCATTCAAAGGTCTCTGTGCCTTGTTCCCAAAATGTTGTTTATAAATATGTTTTAAGTTCACATTTTAAGACTATTTCCTTACAGAGATTTTGCAGTATTGCTTTGAATTGAAATGTAATCGGAAACTCATTTAATGAGATTTAAGGAGATCTGCCTTGTATTTATCTAACTATATACCAACCCCACTATTGCAAGTGTTGTTTAATGGTAACTTTATATTTTGTTTAAATAGATAACATTTGGATGTATCAATTGTTTGTAATAAATTTAATTTGATCATTTACAGTTCAATTGCTGCACAAACTGAGTATAAGAGCATCTGAGGGTCCAACTAAATTATTAAAGGTATGATTAGATTTTATTTTAGTTTCTTTTACGAAAATCATTGAAACATATTTACATAATAGTGATGAAGACACCCCAGTGGTATATTGTAGGTATGTAGTAGGTAAGGTAGGTAGATAATACAGACCCATCATCACTATGCAATACAATAATTTATGCTTCAGTAATCTGTTTCCATTCAATTACATGAGTCCAATGAATTAAAATCTCAATTCGTTTGTACCTCAGGGGTGATGTTCACTTGTAAACAGTGGTTGGAGAAAGAATGTTGATTTAGATAATGACTGAATCAACCTTAGCTTTTCAATTGTTATATGGTGAGGGAGTCAGCAGTCATTATTTCAGGAATCTTAGTGATTTTACACATTTTGTACTCAAAAGACAGATTGTCAGTACGCACATCATTCTGGATTAAGGTAGACCTAGAGGCATGACTTGTAATTAAGGTGGGCCCAGTGCAATGAAATTTGGAATTCAGGAAGGCCTAATGAGATGAGTTTTTGAATTAAGATGAGCCTCGTCAAATGACTTTTTGAATTAAGTTGGATCTAGTGGAATGACTATTGGAGCCATTGTACATGACATCACTGTGTAAGAATATATGTAAAATGTTCACATTAAGCATGTTTACACTTTTGCTTTTTTAAAGGTTATAAAAAATCCTATTACTGACCATTTACCTACCGGATGCATGAAGATCTGCATGAGTTATGCCAGTACTGAAGTGGTTGACCCAGCAACCCTTGTACCCCCTGATAAACCAATTGTATTTGTCATAGGTGCTATGGCTCACGGGAAGGTAAGTCATGTGTTCCATGTACTCATTACTGGTTTCTTCATCAATGTAAAACATTATTTATGAATAATGAACTGTATTATTGTACCTCTGTTGGATAGCATGGAGCAATTAAATAGTTTTAGAAATACAGGGTGACCTAAAAATGCAACCCTTTGATTTGTACAAATAGTTTAGATATCTAACTGACAAAGCAGCATGAACTTGACAAAATATACACTACCATAAGGCTGAAGAAGAAAACTACAGATAAAATTACTACAGATGTTATCTGTTATGAAACAAATTGAATCTAATATACTGTACTTGAGAAACACTCTTATGCCTTGGTCACATAGGCTCCGATTTTCACTACGGCGCCCGGCCGATGAGTATTTTGTTCGAAATCGGCCGGCGAGCCCGGGCATCTTACGGGCGCCGGGCGATGATCGCCACTCATCGGCCGATTTTTAGACATCGTACGGGCGCCGGCAGAGTTCTATCGCGGATATAAAAGTTGCCGATGTCTTGGCGATTTTTTCTCAACCAAACTCATCGGTACCTACCCGGCCGTGTCCCGCCCGGTCATCGTACGATTATCTTACGGCGCCCGGTGGCATCGCACGGTCATCTTTGGATTTTGCGTGCTGATTTGTTTGATAAATCTTATAGTGCAGTCAGAATGAGGGTTTGGGCGTGCGTTCAGAGGGATTTTATGGGACATAATTTTTCATGTTGCTAGTATGATTTTACATATTTTTATGGATTGTTAGACCTTAGTTTTTCAGCTTTTAGATTTTGTGGCCATTTTACCCCCCATGGGCTATAATTTGGACCCCTACTATAAAATTGGGCTAGAACTCCAAAAATACTCAGTAGAATGTTTCCAAATTACTAAGATATATTTGTATAGGCTAACTGAATATATGATAAAAATTTCAAGTCATATGGTGAAGTGGTTGCCATGAAAATGGATAAAACATACCCTTCAGGTGTTGATTTTCAGGCCATTTTTTCAAAAATGATAGAGTCATTTCATGCATATTTTATCATCATTGTGTTAGGAAGGGTTAAAATATGAATAGAAAACTTCTATAATACATTATCAACAATCTTATATAATGATTAGTCCATAGGATCTCAGATTTTGGCCTTATATGGGTCCATGATTTATACAGGGGCCTATTTCACAGATTCGAAACCCCACATTGGATGGATGCTATAACTTTTGAAATAAGGGAAATACAGGTCTCATTTTTTCAGATCTTCATAAATGACTGGTTTTAAGTATTGTATCATACTTTGGGAGCTGTTATGTGATTGGTTGCTATGGTGACCAGGGTTTTATGGAAATTCGGACCCCCACATTGGATGGATGTTACAATTTTTAAAATAAGGGATATAGGTGTCTCATTTTTTCAAGTCTTAGACAATGATTGATTTTAAGGATTGATTCAGACTTTGGGAGCTTGTATTAGACTGGTAACCATGGTAACCATGGTTTTGTTGAAATTCAGATCTCCACAATTGATGCATGCTATTACTTTTAAATACAGGCAGATACAAGTATAATATTTTCAGATCTAAAATAATAATAAAATGTGTATATTGTATTAGGAAGCTAGGGTTTAATTGGTTGCCATGGTCACTATGTTTCATTGTCATGGTAACTGTTGTTTTTGTTTTTAGATTCACCTTCATTCTAGATAGGTCAATACATGATATGAAATACCAAATTGCCATTTTATTCATAATTTGGGGATTTTTTCTATTTTAAATGATTACATGCTCATGACTCATTAATACAAGAGATGCAAAAATTGTTCGGCTCATAAAATATTAAATACTAGTAAACAATACATGTACATTTATGTCTGACAATATTGCCTCATTTCATACCACTAGTTCTCACAAATATTTTGACTCCTAATTTGTTCATTACTTTTTCATTTTGCACAATTGCCCTTTGATTTAAATATCAACCGTTTCTGTTGGAATGAAGGCTTGTTTTGACCATTTTGGAGAAGAGGATCTTCAGGGGATTTCATACATTCATGCAGTATTGGGCTTGGCAGAATGGGTTAAGATTGGTCCCTGGGGGTTCACTGTATATAAAATTTGGCTGGGGTCCTAGGCTGAACCCTCAGATATCAATATGTTCCCATACCAATCTGTCAAATTTGAATGTATTCCCATACCAACCAAATTAATGCCCAAAAGCCATACCAAATGCCCAAATATAGGATCAATGTGATATCAAATATCCAGATATAAAAACATGGCCATTCAAAATGTCTAATGCCCTGAGAAGAAGGCAGACCTTTGATGAAAACAACCAAAAACAACTTCACATTATAAAGGATATATACTAGACCAATGCCATAGCACAAGTGAGGGGTAACATATTTTCCAAGACCATTTTCATACCAGTAAGTGTAAAAATCTGACCATTGCCATACCTCAAGTCATAATTTGGAGGACATTCTCATTTCTCATGTCAGATCCTAAAATTTAGGTCTATTGCCATACCAAATGTCTGAAGTACCCCACCTGAGCCAAGGATCCCCTCAAGGTTTATATAAAGTGAACTCCCTGGGAGACTGGTGGGAATGTTTCCACTTCCACATATAGGATTTGTCATTCACTTTCTTCAAAGGTGGGAGAGTTCATCATTGGCTCCAAAGTAATTCATTGCATTACATTAGCTGCTATGAAAGCAGCCAAGGACCAATCTTGAAAGACAGGAAGAGTTGAAATGTCAACACCTTCATAAGTGAGGGCAGGACTGTTCTGTTTTGGAGAATATCTCATGTGAACCAGCTCATATCATAATCTATTGATGTCAGTTAAAAAATGTATTTTTGTAATTCTGCTGTACTTTTGCAGGTGAACAATTCAACTTTGGATTTTATTGTGTCAGGAATTTCTATATTGTTTCCTATTATGAAGAAGACAACGTTAAGAACCCCAACTTATGTGAACTCTGTCCCTTTAGATGTCAGAAGCTCAACCAAACCCCTGTAGCTGCAAACTTAGGTCGACATACTGTGTGAAGCTATATTAGCCTTCAATGCACGCATTACTGGATCTGAACAAAAGAAAAATAAATCAACTGAAACTGAAGACAAACAATTCTTAAAGTTGTTTTTTTTCAATAGGAAACAATATAGAAATTCCTGAGACCATAAAATCCAAAGTTAAATTGTTCACCTGCAAAAGTACAGCTGAATTACAAAAATAACTGCTATGATGAGCTATGATGAGCTGTTTCACATGAGATACTAGTATTCTCAAAAACAGAACATTGCTGCCTTCACTTATGAAGGTGTTGACATTTCAACTCTTTCACATTTGAAGAGGGTGAATTATCAAACCTGTGTATGGAAACATTCCCACCAGCCTAAACCCAGCTCTACCAAGCCAAACACTGCATGAATGAACTATGAATTCCCCAAGGAATTCTTAATACCAGAATGGTCAAAAATAGCTAAAATGATGAGTAAAAACAACTTAGTAGAATATGTGTGAGAACTAGTAGAATGGAATGAGGCAATACTGACAGAAATACATGTAAAAATGCTAAATTAGGAGTAAAATGATAATTTTGAGCAATTTTGTGTTCAAAGTTGTGTATTGACCATTCTCAAATGAAGGTAAATCTGAAATCAAAAATGAAGTTTCCATGACAATGAAACATGGTTACCATGGCAACCAAGTAAATTGTAACCTCCAAAGTCTGACACAATACACAAGTGGTATTATTTTTTAAGTTCTGAAAAGCTGATATCTGTATCACCTTGAATTTAAAAGTTATAGCATTATTATCAATTGTGGAGGTCCAAATTTCAATAAAACTCTAGTTACCATGGTAACCAATCAAGTTTCAGCTCCCAAAGTCTGATTGAATACTTAAAATCAATCATTGTCTAAGATCTGAAAAAATGAGACATGTATCACCCTTATTTCGAAAGTTATAGCATCCATCCAATGTGGGGGTCAGAATTTCCCTAAAACCCAGGTTACCATGGCAACCAATCATATGCCAGCGCCCAAAGTATAATACAATACTTAAAACCAGTCATTTATGAAGATCTGAAAAAATGAGAACTGTATTTCCCTTATTTCAAAAGTAATAGCATCCATCCAATGTGGGGGTTCGAATCTGTGAAACAGGCCCCTGTATAAATCATGGACCCATATAAGGCCAAAATCTGAGATTCTGTGGACTGATCTTTACATAAGATTGTTGCTGACATATTACAAAAGTTTTCTATTCACATTTTAACCCTTCCTAACAGACTGGTGACAAAATATGCACGAAATGACTCTTTCATTCCTAAAAAATTGGCCTGAAAATTGACACCCGTAGGGTATGTTTTATCCATTAACATGGCAACCACTTAACCATGTGACTTGAAATTGTTATCATATATTTAGTTAGCCTATACCAATATACCATAGCAATTTGGAAACATTCTACTGAGTTTTTTTGGAGTTCTAGCCCAATTTTATAGTAGTGGTCCAAATTATAGCCCATGGGGGGTAAAATGGCCACAAAATCTAAAAGCTGAAAAACTAAGATCTAATAATCCATAAAAATATGTAAAATCATACAAGCAACATAAAAAAATATGTCCCATAAAATCCCTCTGAACGCACGCTCAAACCCTCATTCTGACTGCACTATTAATAATGATTACTTATAAAGTGATATAAAGGTTTTAAAAAGAATAAGGTAAGGAATTATAATTACTACACACTGTCAGAGATTTTTTATTAAACATACGTAAATGGAACGATTAGGCTTACTGTAAAACAATGACACACATTTGAATGGCTGGGTGGGTGGGTTGATCTAGTCGTTCTTATATTGACATTAATCGTGTATGTCTGTCATACACATTGAATAGAGTGATACATTTTTATGTGTATGAATATTCACCCATGCATATACTATTACAAATCATTTATTTTAAAAATCTTCTGAATGTTTTTGTGAGTACAGTATTTTCAAGGGTCACAATTTTAATACGAAAGTGCAGTGTCTCAATTACAGTTAATATGCAAAAGGCTTTAGGATAGAGGGGATAAAGCCAATGGGCCACATATGAGGAAGGCCTTGGGAAGACAGGTGGAAAAATGCAATAACAATGCTAGTGAGCTGGTGGATGATGAAGATTTAGATGTGTCTAGGGAAGAGGGTAAGCTTACTCCACTTGAAATATAAGAAAAAATTGCCAATTTCTTTGAAGATAGGCCATATTTTTATGACCAAACAAATTCTCTTTACGAGAACAGACAAAAGAAAGATGCAGAAATAGGGATTTTGCTAATAGCATCGGATGGACAGGGAGTAGACATAGTATTTGTTTATATGAAAGATCTAAAAATGAAGTAAGGTCAGGGTGCACTTTGATGAAAAGACCACGTGCAGTATGGCAAGTGATTTAAGACGGTCATATCTTTCACAATGAGTACTTTCTGGGCATAAATACTGTGTTTTTATTAAAACAATACGTTTTCTTTCAATAGAAGTACCCATAATAGTAAAAATATTAATCAAACAATTTGAAAAATTATGAATAGGGACCCCATGTCAGCATTTTTTCTAAATATTGAACCTATTTACTCAGAAGAGGATCTTCTTTTTCTGATTTTGTTATTGCATGAAGACATTATTATCCTGGAAGTCCTGTCTATCGAAGTATTTCGTTTTCAAATCTTGCATTCACGCCATGTGGAACAGTCATACTGGGTCATACAAGAATTGAGTATAAATCTAGAGGCCTGTAGATCGACCGATGTCCTGGCGGGTGCCGTGCGGCCATCGGCAGATAGCCTTGCGATACCCGTGCGATGTCTTTCAGATTCAATTGATTGCGGGCGCCGTACGATGCCTGTACTAATGTGACCATACTCACGATTAGATCAAGACATCGGTGAAAAGTCACCGGCGCCCGGTCGATTTAGAAATCGGCCGATGACTACTCATCGGCCGGCGCCCGGCGGCTATGTGACCTAGGCATAAGTTGTACCTGTACAACATTGTCTGTTTTGTTCAATACAGAAACTTGTTATGTGTCATTTCAGGTTGATGTTGACTACACAAGTAAAGACTTATCTATAAGTAACTATCCTCTATCAGGAGCATTGACATGTGCTAAGGTGTGTTCTGCCTTTGAGGATAAATGGGGAGTGCGATAATCTATATTCTATGTCTAGTATATGTTCCTGTCCCAGTGGAGATTATACTGTACAACATATTTTGAGCTAGAAATCAACCAGAGCGAGATATATTCTGAGATGGAGGAGAAATGAGCTATATCTTCTGAATATTTCTAAAAGAGGAGTATATTATTGAAATATACGAGCAGAAGATTTGATGCAGATTAAAGTCTATGTCACATATTTTAATCAATACATGTATTTTGCATTTTATGTGACAATAAATAGCTTTATTGGTACAGACTTATTTGGGATATAACAATAAATGTGTCAATACATCTTAATTTGATTAGTTTCTTGTCTTAAATGGTCAAAGCTATTTCTCTTTGGTGTTCATGGAAAATCACAAGAAAGAAAAGCTCCATCTATTAATCAGTTTGTATAAGTTGTTTTTTCTGAAAGTCAGTGTATTTTTTGCATTCGATTAAATACAATACAATTACATAGAATGGCTGATTGAGAGACAACTGACAAAATATGTCGACATTACCGCCAGTTTTATGGAAACTCCAGAAACCCTATTGCCGCGTGGTGGTCGGAGAGGTCGCCCAAATTCTCTGTGCTATCACATTCCGTGTTGTCAGGATACATGTAGTCTTCAAGAGTGATACAACGCTCACACCAACACACTGGAAATCTTGGAGCATGGAAAATTCTGTGTGCCTCTTGTAAGGCGTTCACAGGTTGCAAATAGCTATTGCTAAAGACAACGTGATCAATCCATCGCCATCTCGGAGCACCGCCACCCGATGAAATGTTTTTGATATCATTCATTCTGTCAATAGTCGCATTCAGAGGACTATCTGGACCAATAATTGGCATGGCGGCTCCCAGTGTTTCAATAAAAGGATCGAAAACAAAAGGATTGTACATATCGGTGTTGAAATCGCCTAAATATATAACTGGCTCCGTCTGTGGAATGCCTTTACTGTCAGCAAATCCCCTCATTTCTCCAGCTTGACCAAGGCGTATATCATCAAAATCTCCACCAGCTTGCAAATGAGAGCAAAAAAGATTGTAATTTCTTGATGACCCATTCACCGACTTTCGCACCTTGGCATAACCGACTCCTTTACTAACAAAAAGCTCGACGGATTCGTCTGAGTAGTTCGTGTAAATATGTTGGTCTTCCTCTATTATAGGCCACCTAGAAGCAAAGTAAACCCCACCATTCTCAACTGTCTCATCAGGATCATCGATAGTTCTCGTATTATAGTTCCAACCATGTTGACTCATCAAGTCGCGGAGGGATACATGATCCGGCCAACAACCTCCCATAAATCCCTCCTGGAAGCAGACGACATCCAAATATGGCCATTGCTCTGTAAATAGTCTCGGTATTCTGCAAGTCCGTTCTCTCTGACCGTCGTGTGTGATCGCAAATTCTCTTTCGAAAATATTATACGACATTACACGGAGTTGATTGGCGGGAGATGGGGGACTTATCGGGAGAGCTTCCCTAGACACGCATCGATGTCGTTCACTTGTGACCGGGCACCAAGTATCATCGGGACTTCCACGTGGATGGGATACATCATACTCGAATCCAAACACCCCACAATCTGCCGCATCTCTGGTACAATCTGTTTGATCAATAAGTTAATTAGAAAATATAACCATCGTTACATTCATTCCGTGTTGGCCTGCAAACTCACAAATTGATTCCGATGAGAATTAGGTTTGATACGGATTCCACTTTGTGAATTAAACAGTTGTGTTCGTTTATTCTGTGCACTTACCTATCCATACGTGTGGCCTGTTACCGTTAACCGGGGGTGGCTCTGCGTAGCACATTAACTCATCTGGATGGCACTCAAACCCTGTAGGACACGGTAGCTCAAGTGGGGTACATTGGTCTCCAGCCTGCCCATTTACCGCTCCATATATCAATGTGAACAGCAAAAGACCAAACATTTTGTTTGAAGGTCGAATCACTACTGATTCAGTTCTTGATTGATAAACTTATTTATTTTTAACATATTGATAAAATCGCAATTACGTTTCATTCAAACTTGCTTCCCATGGCCATAATAAAATGTAAAAAATTATTGAAATACAGACTAATTAAAATCCTATGGGAAGTAGGCTAACATTCGCTGATGCATTGAAGGCCAATACTCCTTGCTGACACAAAAAGACATAGCTCTGATTAAAATAAAATTTATTGTACGTATCATGACACAATACAGAGTCGCATTTAATTGGTTCTCTATGAGCAGTATGAATTACATAAAGGACGAGGACAGCTGTCTGTTTGATTTTGATCCAAGTTTACCTAGAAGTGTCTCTGCTCCACATAATTTATCAGATTGTATGGCTGATTCCTTTTCAAACTCTCGGCGAAGTCTTACACTTGCTATCTGCCTGATAAGATCATGGAAAAGTTTTGTCACGTGATAATTTCCAAGGAAAGCGGAACTTTCGTAAAAGGCAGCCCCGATTTCGAACGCCAATTGTCTCCCTTCTTCTACAGTAACTTCTCTGTCTTCCGATACATCCATCTTATTTGCTAAAAAAGGAACGCTAAATTTATTATGAATTAAAACATCGTGTTTCAAGAAGGATTTACCCTTTAGATTCGATTTCTGACTTATATTATGCTTAGTATTAGGCTTAATTCATGATTCTGAATCAGTATTTTGTCATTCAAAATCGTATTTTCAAAATCAGCTCATAGTCTTTACCTACCTACTAGGACTATAGGAAGTGATTTGGAATTTCTCCAAAAATTAACACAGGCTATACACTTTCTGATTTCATCGAAGCTTTTTCTATCAACAATAGAATATATCAAAACAAAGCCGTCTGCTCCGATAATGGCGTCCCGGAAGTAGTGTTGGTGATGATGGGTGGACGAGAGTCTCTGGAAGAAACAAGCACAAATGCTTGCTTTCAGAATTGCTGAATTTAGAAGCAGAGTGTATAAAACGATTGAACAATCATAAGATACGATGTTCAACATTCCAATTCATTTTAAATGCTGTATTTGTTGTTGATATTTCTACAAATGAGATGGACTTTTATGGCGCTTACCACAAATGTGTGGGAATGGTCAAATATACGAATGTTTTCCTCCTCGCCGTCGACTCTGATTGTTCCACCGAAATAAAGTCCTGCAAGCAAAGATAATCCCATTGGATTATACTAGTAATGCAAAAAGCTTATGTTAAATCAATCATTTTCAATCTTTTGGAATCATCTGGCACATGGTATGATTATATATTGTGTTTCATTTTGAAGGGTATATTACAAATGAATTCATTTTAAGAATTGGACAAAAAAGCTTCGACTTGCTTGCACACGAATGTTATTACTGTGACTATATATGTATAGTACGTAGTTAGCGATAAAAGCAATGTGCGTTATCCTTTAAGGTCTCGGATTAGTTATCAGAAAGGATGGGAATCGATATATTGAACTTGTCATAAAAAAAATCTGAAAATTTTACACATTGTCAATTTAATTTAATGGTTGTCTTTTGAATGGTAACAATATAATTTGAAATAAATATACATACTTTTCTTAGGAAAACACATCAGACACTTCTTTTGTTCTTGGTGACATATGTTCGGAATGAAATGAAACATCTATTCGAACCTTATTGGAACAAAATGACATAACGGTCAAGCCAAGTAACTTAGTCAACATTCGATATTCGTATGTTCATCAATTTTAACTAAGAATGGTGCCACAATTGAAGTAAACCTCTGTTTAATTATTTTCAATAAACCTATCAGCAAACGTGTAAATGATAAATTTGATGTTCTGTTACATATTGGTGAAGCAATCTTGGGGATATGGCCTAAATTTCTGAATTTCCACTATGTCCCTGTATACCCCTACTTCAAAAGATGTATGTTATTGGTCATTTTCCATTATGAATCAACCATTATGTATTTTTTCTTGTTTGCATACAGAATGAACTTTCTGTTTTCAAATATTGAAAGATGGTCCTGCATCTATTTTTTCATGATATGGAGCAAACAAATGCGTGTCAATATACACTGTAATATCCCACATACTTATATTTCAAGGGTAGTTTTGAAGAATAATCAAGAAAATCCATGTTTTCAAATGAATTCATCTTTGTCAAAGAACCTAAATGAGGATGTGCGGTTTGAAAAACTAACACCATGTTTTAAGTTCTGACAATTCTTGGTTAAAACAAATATTTCGAAAGTTGTGATTTCGAATGTAATATCGAACACAATGAAATTTGTTGATATTTGTGAATTTTTTCTTTCGGGATGCACATTGCTGGATCACAGAACATCGCCTCTTTCGAGATGCACGAAAAGTGTATTGCTAATACTTGATGTCGTTCGGATATTTGGATGTGATTGACGTTTTTGTTAATCTCCAACCACTGTAACTTCCAACTTAATTTTTGAAAGCCAAATATGATAGTCACGAATTGATATTTAAGCCACACGTTGATACATACATCATCTGTCAAATGCATGTCGACTTACATTTATATAAATATCCACAGTTAACTCAAATCATCAATTCTCGAAACGGTTTATCATATAACCTGGTGAGTTAAATGTTTCATTTTAACTCATAATTATGGTATCGGATTTGAGTATGATATTAGTCGAGGCTTAAACAAAGCAATAAAATTGCGTGAAACCTTTTGTGAAAATTTGATCGATTTTTCAAGAATCCTCATTCAAAGTGTTACCACAGTGCTCCCCGGGAGTAGAAATTTCGTCTTGTGTAACCAAAATAATAGCGGGTGGTTTGAATTTTTCTTTGAGTTTATAGCCCAGCATCTATAAATTCAAAAACGTGTCGCCTCATTGAGAGGTACATGCAGATTTTGGCGATCTATCATTCTAAAAGGCTAAATTTTGTGCAAAAACAGGAGTTGACACGCTACCATTTGGAATTGAAATTTCCTACATAATTGTCGACTCATGTTTAAAAGTCATGAAAACAAGGTTAAACACAAAACAATGACCTTATTACTGTCTATTTAGCATGGGTTCACTAAGGGAAATATTATTAATGACTTAAATCGTTAACGGTTAAGTTGTATAACAAGAAACTTATCAATTTAGAAATGCAAAATGTTCAATTTTGTTTTTCAATTTTAAAAATGGCACCTGTAGAGAACAAAGTTTACAAAATTATTTAAAACGGAGATATTTACTTATGTAACATTCGTTGGCATGTGTCAGCGAGTAAACAAGAAGAATATGCATTTGATTCTATATCTTGTTCCCAAAGGAGTTTGTTTAGGAGCGGTATATCTTAACGTACTTTTATCATCCCGAACTCAAATATTTCGAATACTTATTTCGAGAACGCTTTGCTGAGAATGGATTCGAGATGTACTCAAAATTAATACGTTAAAATGTTTATTATCGTCTTAATAACCACCTCACAAATTATTTTGGAAATCAAAGATGTACGATTTTTGAGATTTTTATTTTCGAATGTTGACTTACTTACTTGGCTTGACTGATAAACACAAAATTCCTTGGACCTTTCCAACAATATTCTTTTTCCTTTTTTCTGCCATATTTTAGAGGGCTAAAAATCGTATTTCAATATCTTTGGTGTTTCTATTTCCATTACCATATAATGATAGATAGAACCAACTAAATTGAGAAAATGTCAGACTGAAAGACATATATTTTGATTGACAAGATATACTAGAAAACACGTGCTTCCTGTTTCGGCCAACTTGGAAAATTTTTTGAGAAGTTCGACTTCACCTTAGGCTTAAATGTGGAATTGCATACGTCAAGTTTGATTGTATTTGCATTTTGACACAAGGTATATTCTTGCAAATAATCTTTCTCACATATTTTCGAAACATAGAGAAGTATAATTCAACTGGAAATATTTTAGGGCAGAATTGGTAGCCCAGCCTAGATACTGTAATTTGACAAAATAAAAATTATGCTTTAGTGATAAAATTTCGGATAATCCGTGGTTATACAGTGAGTCTGATTGTTCAGAACAATACATGCACTTAGCATTGCGTAATTATTTTACTAACGTTTGAATAATGGTTACGCGTTTTTCGCATGTCCAGCTTGCTTGAAGTGACAAAAATAAGGTTAAAAAATAGTTTAACACTTTCAACGCAAAACTGCTCTTATAACATGTGTATTTAAACCAGAGCCAATCTTCTCGTACGAATAATCAGTTTAAATCTCAAGTGGCCAAATCACCCCGAGTTTATGAATACGTTTAGATACTGAATCAACTCTACCGATAACTAACTCTCGGACTTAACTAGAGTTTCATAACAAACATATTTTATCTTAGAGTTGTTTTATTTACTTACCTGTGGGCAATACTCCCTGTAGACAGCAGTCTAGGAACTGATCATTCACGAATGTTTGGCATAATGCTGGAATTAATTAGATACGAGATATCATACGTTATATTACATATACACAGTGGATATTTTATGAAGGCCGCTCCTCTCCAAAACTATGAAAGATTAACTTATTCATTATCGTGTGAATCAGTCTTAGGTACATCATCACTAATTTTGATATTGAATATACGAGTATCATTTTTAAGGAGAACCAATTTAGCACACCCAGAGACATCTGAGCATACCATGTTAATGTTTCAGCACAACCCTCCTCAGTTACAGCGTAAAGTCTTGATTAACAGAAAATCTGGGTATGCAAGTTCAAGACCATCTAAGGTATCTGATATTATTTAACATGATTACCCATTTAACTTATCTATTACTTTTCCATGTGTAAGCCTACTCAATATATAGTTTCTAACCAGGTACAACTATAATAGTGACACCCCCTCCCCTTTAGATAGATTCATGTTGTAGCTGTTTATTCTGCACGAGATTTATATTTTCTAAGAATTGCGGAGTAAAATGCTTGTAGCTAAACAAGCCAGTTCGGCTCCTCCCTTATCATCAGTAACCCTTTAACAAATTAACTTAGATTATACCAATAAAACACATGGGTGTTAATTGATAGAAACTGGTTAGTCCGACCCTTGATTCTGGTAATCTGAACACTCAATGTTAACATCTGTTTTATTAGGTAAATTTATAGTAAGGTGTGTTATCCCAAAATCAAGAGCCTAGCAGAACCTACACTACTCCTATTATATTTGGATGTATTGACTTAAACTTCTTTATCAATTAACCTTGACGTCAATCAAATTCATGATTTACCTGTTTTGCCTACTGATACACCTCCCAAAACGACAAGTTTCATTTCATCACCATTCTCAGAACCATCGTGTCTGTTCTTGACACATGGACTCTGTAGGCTGCCATTTAGGAAGGCCTGGGCACAGTTAGTGGTATACTCAGGGTCGAGACAATTATCATCTTTGCTTTTTTTGCTACGACTCAGACGGCTTCCAGTACGATCCAGTGTTGAGTTTTTGGTAGATATAGAAGAACTGTTTTCTATCGTATTTTTAACACATTTCTTCTGTGGATTATTGTGGTCCGATTTGGCAATTTTAGGATTAGGTGAGATATTGATGTCAGTAAAGGTAGCCGTATCAGCAAAATGATACGTTTGGTTTGTGTCGCTTGTCAGTGTGCTATCAAAGCTTGGTCCCGATGAGTCTGTTGTAACTGACCCGTAGTCCGTATCACTACTGTCCTGATATGGTACTTTACTATACAGAGGGAGATTACCAAAGCTATTGTACACTCCATCATTATTAATCTTAACATTATCCAGACTATACGCTAGTTGATCTGTTTCATATTTTATGCAATCTCTCAACGTGGAATTTGCCAGGTTCGTTAGTTCACCCGCCGATATCACCTGTCGTACTGCGTTTATCTTTGCATATTCTACCGGGTGGAATGTTTTCATTGTTTGGACCTGAGGTACTTTGATTCCAGCGCCATCAGTGCCGTCAAAGGGATCCTCGATTGTCGAAGAGGTGTAATAATATAATGATGAGCTATCGTCAGTTGTGGACGAGGAATCGGCTAAATCTCCGCGACGCCGACTACTTTGTGGAGTAGAAGTTAACTCATGGAAATTCAGATCCGTTCGTCGTAATTGTAAACATTCACCTGGTTTCACCTCATGGCCGTTTTTAACTTCATTCCCACGTCCCTCAATCTGCCCATTTGTCTCTTTTGACGTTTCAACAATATCAGTATTAACAGTGTGAGTTTTCTTTTCATAGAAGTCGTGAAGATCACGTTCGCTTGTCACCTTTGCTCCACACCACATCTCATCCCAAGTAGAAACAAATCAACAAACTAGATTCAAAATAGCATTACGTCAATTTTTGAAATGCTATGCAGGCCTACGCAAGCAACCTGTTCGTTTGCATGTTATGCCAATTAATATTTGGCGGGGCAAATTAAAGCATAACCCGTCTGCAATGATTTATGACCAGCTAGCTAAAGGCCCAGCAAAGCTAAGGCAACCCCCTTTCTGTTGTATTTCAAAATATCCTGATTTCGTGTGCTAAAAGAAGCCAAAAATAGTTTTTATCCATTGAACCTGGTAGTTCTTTCGTTGTGACATTTCCGGAAGTAGGAACTACGCTAGGAATCGTTGATACACCCCGGGATCAACATTTCTGCCATTTACACTGTTTAACTGCTTTATTCGTATTAAATGTTTCTAGAATCCTCTGTGCCAATGATATCTGCAATTGTAGCAGTTCTATGCCAATAAATACTCGATTGAGAAATTCATCCCTCCCAATGCCTTCTTTGTACTCTAGAAATAGGAACTTTTCCTCATTACCTTGGGGAGTTATCTGCATACCTTGCAAAGGAGTACGTACCCATAGTCCTTATAACTCTCACGTGACCTAGTTCCTCGAATAAGAACACCAGTGCTTGTTGAGGGGTATTCTTAATTGTTGAAAAATACATTTGCTTTGGGGAACGTATGTATTTTATTAAGTTAGATTTCTCTCGTAAAATTTGCTTGTTATTTAATACCCGTGGATGATGGGTTAACATTGGCATATGGTCGAGAATTAATAGTTTTCTTATGTTTGATCCTAAAACCTGAAGATGTTTCCTTAATTATAAAATTATCTATGTATTTCCATTTACACATTTTCTCCCCAAAAAAGTTTGGAAAATAAGTTACCAGAACCCAGCCATACGATCATATTGTTGGTTAACTTACCAATAACTTAACCTTATACCCGATGACACCCGGGGCCTTCTTTTTCACATTAACTATGGAATGTTCATGATGTTTCTTGACATATTAGGCTTACATCCTGGAAAATTAATCATTTATTGAATGCTTTATGCGAATAGGCACACGATGTTTGTGAAATATTGTTAAAATGTATTTTCCACTGGGATGTGATGATCAGATGTGTTAAAAAATAATTTTGAAGATTAAAAACATGAATGCCAATTTGGTGCTCTGTAGTTATTTGGAAAAAGTAGACTTTTACCCAGGTCATAAGTAGGGTTTTAATTTCATGGGGTTTGATGAGAATACGTTACGTATATTCATATATATTTTGGGCAAGTTATTTTGAGGGTAGCGATTAAGTGTTGTTGGTGAGATCTTTCGGCAGGTATACACTGTTAATCTTGTCCTGTAGCAGACTGCTCGCTCTACCAAGTAACGAGATCCCGATATATACAAATTGTAGCTGGAATTCACTTTACGTCGAGATAAGTTTTCCCCAAACCGTTGATAAGTTCGTCTTCAGAAGTTGCTTAATTTTAGTATCCCGACAGATGATTTCTTTCAGCTTGAGTGTCTGTTTATACCCTCCATTTCATTACTTGAAACATTACGCAGTTCTGGGTGATCTACATTCATAATTATATTCCTTCTAAGTCCTCTCGTCGAATAAAGAACAGAGGAACTAATTCGTCTCTAATTATTTAGTGTAAACATACACTCCATAACACATTTTGGCATTTGCCTTATATTTCTAAATAAACTAAAGCCTACATGGGAATATTCGATTATGTCAGAATGACTTTTACTTAATGGCCCTTGTAAAGTTTTGAAATATAGTTTTAATCATTCAAATATTATCTTTTACTTTTATTAAAATCACCTTTCATAACTATTTAGGCGTTTTTTGAAAAATGTGACTTGAAAAAACTAAAATGGTTTAATCGTATTATACGGCCTTAAACAACTTAAAGGTGTGATGTCACATTCAGTATTGGAAATCACTTAAAATTGCTCTTATATTGATTTAAAAACATTAGATACGTGATACAAATCAAGTGTCCTTTCCTCGGTTCTGATTATCTTGATCCATCAATGTATTTCACATGACTGAATTCGAAGGATATGGCTTCTGATATCGATGTTACTTGAACAAGATGATGGCTATAAGAAACACCAGGGGTGTATTAGCTTGGGCCAATGACCCCATTCCACTTGTTGGATCAAGACACATCCTTGGTTTATTCTCCAAAGTCTTCGTTATGTTCTGTGGTGATATGAAATGGGCATCCTAGAAAATAAAATGATGTTCAGTCAAGAAATATTCACTTGAAACGAAATCATCCCAATAATATAGTTCAAGCAAGTGAACAATCAACATTTATTTATTTTCAAAAATCGATTACAATATTCAGAAAAGATTGACATTGGAAAAAATGTTTTAATTTTTTGAAAATCCCTGTGTACCCAAAGTGACAACACTATATGATGTCGCTTATGGTGCAAACTTTTTTAATATGCTTAAACATACTTTAGATACCCTACGGCCATTTTATTTTTGAAATAGTATGTCCTTTGTTCAATCTTCAAAATGATGATAATAAAATACAAATGTGTTTTGCACTTTATTAAACAAATACTGGATGACCATGAGGTGGATATATGCCAGAATACCTATCCAAGGAAGAAAATACTAGGCGAGGATAGGTATTCTGGCATATCCACCTCATGGTCATCAAGTATTTATTTTATTATGCACCTCCCTTAATATCATATTCCTACCTTTAATTTACTGTAGATAAATAAAAAAAATGGTGTTAAAGTGTCAAGAATTACTTTATTTTAAAGAATGGGTCTACTAAAACAGAAGCCGAGCTTAGTATTTTTTCGAGGATAGATATTCTGGCATTCGGGATGGTTGGTTGCTTCAATACTGAATGGAACGAGATCTTGCTGCCACGTATGGCAATATACCAGATTTGAGTATTTTAATGAGGTTCATATAATAAATTGAAATACTAGATTAGTATATTTGATGATCATAAATCAAATTTCAAGAAAATCGAGAAGAATGGCAGGGAATATTTGAAAAATGAAAGGATGATAACTTTTACCCCAAAAAATGTTTATTTCAAAAATCTCTTAATAACTTTAAAGTCATGAAAAAATATTAAATGAATGGTATTTTCAAACTTCACATAAAGCCTTTAATAATTGGGTAAATTTGACTGGCATCCTTTTGCATCTACAAAAATTGAATTAATGATATGGCGATATTTCCCTGACTAAATTGAAAAATTACCGGGTAATACATGTGTGTTAATGACTGTCTACAAAGTGCTAAACGTCCAGCATTCAGTGTGATATCTTGAAACCTCTGCCTCACAGTGGCATTGGTCCAGTCGACTTCGTTACTTAAAATGTCTCTAAACTTTCTTCCCTTCCAATTTTCAGGTTTCGTCACTTCAACATTGAAGTATCCGTAATTTTCTTCCGACTCACTAAAACATGTAAAAATACTTCAAAAATAATTAGAATATATCGCAATAAATTGGGTAATTAATAAAATAGTCTAAAAGTAATTCTACTCAAATGTGATACGAATAGTTTAATTTTGTTCGAACGTACATTAGATTGAAAGTTGGGAGGTTGGGGATTTTTGGTCAACAAAATGGTTATTAAATAGTAGGTATACATTCGTTTAGGTGTGTACGATTATTTTGGCTTATTTAGCTAAATGTTCATGAAAAACAGTTTGAATAAAACTTTATATTGCTCGAAAGATGCATGTAGACTATGACTATATTCACATATTACTAGGTAAGGTGTGTCTGATTTCAGCTAACCCGAAAAAAAAGTAATTCATATAACTGCAGTGCATTATATAACCAATCGCCGCACCCAAGGTCATTCATTGAATGACTGTCAAGGTGACAACTAGACCCTACAGATTGAAATTGATGCTTTACCAACTTGATCCTCTTAAAAGGTTTCATTAAAAATATGTTATTTTAATGATTTCCTAGATTCAAAGTCTACCGTTCCTTTCAGAAGTTGTTTCCTAAAATTAACACTCGATGCTGAGCATCGCGTGCACTTTTTTGAAATCTAAACCGTCAATGAACGGTCATTCCACAATGCACTATGAATTCTATTTATAATGAAGAGTCTTACGTTGTTTCAGTGACTCCTGCAATCGACAACAGCTCACTGGTTCTCGAGACAGTTTGGCATGTCGTCATGTTTATTCTTGGATAGTACATTAAGAAGGCAATGCACATCTCCTCCGTTGTTCCAAGTCCACCCTAGAATACACTTTTCAATATAAATTTTTTCATATTTTTTCATTTTCAGGTGCATGAGTAATACATATCGGTATAGCCAATGACACTTGTAACATCTCAATGTGTGTATGATTACTTTGATTTGCATCCGAAAAATTGAATGTCAATTGAATGTAAGCTTGGAATGACAAAAGCCTTAGATTATCTGTGTGATAGATATGTTCATTATGTTCATAAACTTCCACACGGTTACATTTTGCAAGTCTTGCCATTTGCATCCTAACTTTCAAACAATGACAACCGAGAGTGTGCTCACCACACGATTCTACATGTATAAACTCCAACGAATCACAACATGTACAATGTATAGTAACCAGGACAGGTCCAATGACGCGGTCATGTTTTTACCCTATGGAATACTAGAGTATAGTAGTTCAACCATTCTTATTGAAAGGACCACGTGCAGTATGGCAAGTGATTTTAGACAGTCATGTTTTTTTCCATGAGTACTTTCTAGCCATAAAAACAATGGTTTTTATTAAAACAATATGTTTTCTTTCAAGTGAAGTCCCCATGATAGTGAAATATATATCAAACTCTCTGAAAAATTATGGATTAGGGCCCCTACTTGGCACTTTTTAAAAACTGTTAGGCTTATTTTCTAAAAGAGGATCTTGCTTTTCTCAATTTAAACATATCAAAAGTTTCTTCTACACTATATGAACAATTTCTGAAAAGGGGATGCGTATTGAAATGCGTTAAAGTTAAAAACCACATATCCCATGTTAATTTCCCATAGAGAAAACTCGTGCTATCCATTGTTTTCAGCATCATATTGGTCATCGAAAAATGATATCTTCAAAACTAGACTTTCAATACAAATATATTTTTGAAGATATTTTAGACCCCTTGTTGAATAATCTTTTCATGCTATAAAAATTAGAAAAGGGAGATCCTCTTTTCAGTAAATAGGTTCAATATTTTGAAAAAAAAATTGACATATTCATAATTTTTCAAATTGTTCGATTGATATTTTTATCATCATGGGTACTTCACTTGAAAGAAAACATATTGTTTTAATAAAAACCACTGTATTTATGCCCAGAAAGTACTCATGGTGAAAGATATGACCGTCTAAAACCACTTGCCACACTGCACGTGGTCTTTTCCAGGATTTATTCTAGAGAAAATTTCCAACATTGATCAAAATTCCGAATCTTATGATTTTGATAGGCTTTTTTCAAAAACACTTCACTGTCAATAAAATGCAGATTTTTGCTTGAAAATTGAACTTTTAACGTCATTTCAAATATTGTCTATTATCCTACACTTAGTGTACTAAATGTATAATAACATTAAAAAATAAATTTGATATTTATTGGCAAAATGAATAACCGGAGGATATCATGACGATATACTCCGGGCGGAGGATATCGTGACGATATACTCCGGGCGGAGGATATCGTGATGATATACTCCGCTTGTTGATTTCCCGCAAAATTGAACTATTTGACATGAAATTTATTGTTTAATGATTTTATACATTTAGTACACTACTAGTAAGTGTAGGATAATAAGAACATCCTATGATTTTTTCAAAATATCATTTTAATCTACTCGGTGATATTGATATATGCACTCGTTCGCTTCGCTCACTCGTACAGATATCAACATCACCTCGTAGATAAAAATGATATTCCTCAAAATCATAGGATATCCTATAATTATCCCATTGTTGCAAGGATATAGATCGAATATCATATATTTGATATGTGGATCAAGATATCATATTTTAGCAAAAAATTCACAAACCATCGAATATCACTTTTTAACTATCGAATATCACGTCTTAAAAAGTAATATTCGATGGTTTGAAAAAAGATATTCGATGGTTTTGAATTTTTTCAAAAAAAATCTTTTAGATTTCTTAATTATTTTCAAAAATATTTTTAAAAAAATTCAAAATTTCAAAAAAAGATTTCAACATTTTTCACAATTTTTTTCGGATTTTTCTCAAATTATATTTTTCAACTTTTTTCGCTGATAATGATTTTCCATGGGATAAACGGACAATCCTATGGTTTTTCAAAAATATCAATTGGTCGACCAGTTGTAAAGTGTTCCCTAAATCAAGTCAAGATAGAGATGGTCAACTTAAGGTTCCTGTGAAAGGACATGAGTTCTACGCGATCTAACTGTTCAATAACTATGTCCAAAATGAAGTAAAGAATTACGGATCTCCAACTTTATGTATTCTCGGCATTAAATCCTTCACAGATGCTGAAATAGCATTGTCAAATGCTATCATGAAATTCTCAGGGAAAATATTATTCAAAGCGTGGTACAATTCAATTTACGTGCCAGGCGGTTGCATGCTGAGCGACAGTGATGGAAAGACCCAGTGCCAGTGCTTAATCAGAGGAAACGTGACCAAGAAGGTTTTCGATGGCTTAATACACTGTAATAATATTGAATATGAACCATAATTAATATGGCAACAGATACATCTGGAAAGACTAAAGGCGGTCGAAAATTCAATAGCTAGACAATATTTGAAATGACGTCAAATGTTCAAGCAAAAATCTGCATTTTATTGACAGTGAAGTGTTTCCGAAAAAAGCCTAACAAAATCATAAGATAAGGAATTTTGATAAAATATTTGATTTCCATGTTGGAAATTGTCTCCTAAATAAATCCTAAACATTTCAGTAAGAATGCCCGCATCATCGAACCTGTTCGGGGTACTAAGGTGCATTGACATTTTAGTATCTTACCCAGGTCACCTTGTCAGTTCCTGTGGTGTCATATCTACACTCAACACGCAGTTCGTCGCCCTATCAAGATAAGGATGTATCATGGTCAAGTCCAGTTATACAACCTTTCAAACCGATATGATTTGTTTTGCTACACAAACATTGGAATGGCCCAAAACTTATATATTATATAGATTCCCAGAGATTCATTTTACACGAAGATATGTTCATCTGCAAATTCTGGATAATTTCCTCTTCTAAACAGATACATATTAATCAACTGTTAGGAACAATGTTTCATCATTGTACCATAAAGGCTATGAAGTCCCGACAGTATTATTTCGAATAACTTAACATTGACAAATAATATGGTATAAAGAGAAATATCATACTGGTAAAACGGTAACTTCTTGTGGAAGATGTCTTGTTTCTTGAAAGTTGAAGTCATAGTTGTTGTCTCTCTGAATCTCGGGTAGTTCTACTCCTTTCCGGAAGTGACGTACCCATACACCTGTTGCCTTAAGATGTGAATGCAATTGGACTCCAATAAGTTTTATCTCACTGACGTCAGATGCCAACATTGCCTGAAGTACCCAAAATAACAATAGAAGCACAGGGGCCTCTTTGAATCTAAAGATAACCTTCAAGTTGACTTGCTTATGATACCACAGCCTATTTTTATTCAACAAAAGTCAAAGGTAACAATTCAAAACTTTTCGCCTATTTATAAACCAAAAACAAAATAATTGCAAAACTGAAGACACTTATATCTTACGTTAGTTAAGCATTCTGCTGTGCATGATCCCGGGCTAATAAATGCAGGTGTATGCGGTGGGTTCACTTGGAAGCTATGCCCACTTATAATACCGGCCTCTATCATAGTGGCATCATATTCTCCCAACGTCGGTGTGTATATAAGTTCCAATCCAGATGTATCATAAATACCTAAAAATTGAAATATGTATAGGCCCAGTTAATGGAAATAATGTTCGCCCGTTTTACTGTATAACCAATAAAGGTGGGCGCAACAAACGCAAATAAGTTAACAGACGCGAAAACACAACGTAACATACAAGTATATTTGAAATGATAATTGTAAGAGTCGTGTGGCCGGAAACTGTTTTAAAAAAGAGAAATCACGTAAAAGCCCAATTTACACTACACGCGGTACTCTAAGAGGTCTTGGCTAAAACGTTTAACCCTACTATCACACCAAATTAGTTTTCACTACGTTCTCAAAAACGGGCTTAAACTGTGCACGAAGGGATTTGACGTACTAAGAACCGCTTAGTGTCTGTTTACAAACTTTATCAAACTACCTGAACGAGTAGGTCATCCAGAACTTAGAGCATGCTCAAAATTTTTTGGTGACGATTTTGGTGACGTCACGTTCTGCATTCAGAACGAGTGTCAACGTACTTACGATTTACGATACTTACGACGTACGTAGACGATTTGGACGCACTGGGGACACACTACGAACTGAACTGTCGTACTTCAATCCTACCAGGGACGTATTACGACGTTGTGCAGTCAGGCGTAAATTGCAGTCGTGATCGAGTACTCCGCCGTTTGTAGCTTATGAATGAAAAAATAGCTATCACACCAAACAAGTTGTAACTGCGTTCTGGTCTTATCTGATTTTAAACTGTGTGCGAACTGGATGAACGTAACTACAATGTTCTGCGGTCTATCTACGAACTTCATGGATTTGTCAGGACGGGGAAAGGTGATTGAGAATTTTGAATCAATTCAAAATTCGATGGCGACATGGGCGTTCAGTTATCAGACCAGACCAGGAACACAATTGCCGTACTTCAACCCTACTAGAGACGCTTTATACGACGTTGTGCATTCGGATATCGATTGCAATACGCGTGCACACCGACATGGCGCGATATAAACGAACTGCGAATGAGATGGACGAATTGAAGACTGTTTATGAACGAAGTAGCTAATTATTTTAGACATATTTCACGACTACAGCCAGATTTAGCCCGTTTTGCGGACTGGAAAGAACGGTTGAAAACTAGTTTGATGTGATAAGGGGGTTGGAAAAATTATGTTGAGTTTACATCAGCATTTCAAGACGTCTCACGAAATATGATTGAGTTTACACCTGTTTTCCTAAGACGTCTTGGAGATATGTAGTTCTACGTGTAATATGAAAATATCAGTTCAGTACTGGTTTAAGGACGGTTCAGTCAACAAGGCTTTTCCGTTCCTACTTAGATGCTTTTTGCTAAAGGATGCATCGGGTTCGCAAATATATGTCCCGGCTGAAGAGAGCATTGTTAAAAGCACGAAAGAGAGCAGTACGATTTGGTGCATATATTAGGAATATGGAAGAACGCCAGGAAAGATGATTAGGTTCTTCTCGATATTTTTGGGACCATATTGGGAACAATGGTTTGAACGAAAGAAATGACCAAGTGACACAATTAAACAGAAAGTTTCATTTTTTCGTTCAGCGCAACACACAAAACCGGGCTGAAAGCTCTTAGCAAAAACCGATGGATTTACACTCTCTTTGTATACGTTTTAACGCTAAGACGTCTCGACTATGACTACGGTCCTAAAACGTTTTAGCTAACCCCCCTATCACACCAAGCTAGTTCTTACCCGTTCTTGCCAGTCCTACGAAAACGTCGTAAAACGGGCTCAATCTGGCTGTGGTCGGGAAATATGTTTGAAATAATTAGCTTCTTCGTTCTTAAACAGTCTTCAATACGTCCATCTCGTTCGCAGTTCGTTCAGGTCGCAACACGTCGGTGTGCAACGTTGTAGAACGCGTCCCTTAGTCTAGAAGGTCAACATGACCTGATTACAGAACGGTATGGTCGCCATCGAATTTTGAATCGATTCAAAATTCTAAAATCACATTTCCGTCTGAGAACGTTCATAAAGTTCGTAAATAGACCTTAGAAAGTTGCAGCTACGTTCATTCCGTTCGCACACAGTTTCAAACTAGTTTTGAAGAACGCAGTGGCAACTTGTTTGGTGTGATAGCTATATTTATGCTAACTCGTTCATAAGCAGTGTTAAATACGTTCTTAATCAGTTTAAACCCGTTTGCAATTAGTTCTACCTCGTTCTCAACACGTCCTCAGACAGTTTAACTCGTTGTTAAAACGTCCCTAGTTGGATTGAAGTACGACGGTTCCGTTCGTAGTACGTCCAGCTCGTCGTTAGTACGTTGTCACTCGTTCAAATTGTAGAACGTGACGACCACGAGAGCATTTTGAGCATGTTCTAAGTTCTAGAGGGCCTACCCGTTCAAGTACGTTCGATGAAGTTTGTAAATAGACCCCAAACGGTTCTAAGTACGTCCAGTCCGTTCGTACACAGTTGAAGCCCGTTTTCGAGAACATAGTGAGAACTAGTTTGGTGTGATAGTAGGGTTTAGCGATGTTAGCCGAGAGCTCTTGAGAAAATTGGGATTATTTATATTACATTTGTAAAACGTTTTAACGCTAAAACGTTTTACCCAAGACGTTTTAAGGCTCAAGTGTAAATCCATCAAATGTTTCGATGATTACTGGTTTTTGATATATTTATTTGGCGTAAAAGCTGCCATGCTTTCTCACGTGAACAAGTAAATTTGATAATATTGATTATTATTGTCTGAATAAGTGACACAATCGACGCAATCGTAATTTGTCAATATAAACAAAAGTAACAACGTAATCTACTTGATTTTAAAGCTCCATATGTTCCAAATGATGTTTCCACTTTTACCTGCCATTTTTAGAGGATTGTCCCAATGCATTTCCATCAGAACAAAATTAAAGTTGGATCCTGGACCAAGTGGCATACCAGCGTGCGGAGGAAGTGCGAACGTCTGAAGTGAAACATTTCATGTATGCTCAAATTATAGTGATGAGCTGTTCAGACTAAGGAAATATTTAAAATGTAACTAGTGATTTTATATGTTTAATTAAATTAAGGCACTTTAGCCTACCCCAGCTCCTACGGCCCAGCCAAATACTATACTCGTACACTGGACCATGTTGTCTGGCATGTTAGGATTGAAACACTTGGAGGCATAGCCGTGATGGGATTCATTTATCTCGTGGTGACACGCGTAGAGGATGATGTGGTGTACTACCCCCTCATTTCCAGGTTGAACGATTTCTCTAAACTATAATAATATCACATGCATGTTTTCATACAATCCAAATGTAGGATCTCTGTTTATGATTTATACAAATATATAAACTGTAACTTACCGCAATGACATGCTGTTTCTCCTCGAATGTTGGGATTAAAAAGCCTTGACACCAATAGGTTGTATGATCTGTTGGAACTGATGCCTGAAAAGAGGAAATATGATTAGGAACTATCTGATACTTTGACTTGACTATTGATTGATATTAAACAGTATTCTTAACTTTTCTAGTACAATCTTGCCATTAATACCATTTTATATGTGTCCAATTATCACACTGGGTTAAACTAAAAATAAGGCGAGTAATATTGTCAAATATGTATACTACTTGTTCCTTTATGCTCATGAATATACAGTCATACGTTTGTCAGACGAAACTGCAATGTTTGTGCATCATCGGGAAACGGGGCGGATTTTCCCCTATGTGTTAACAGTTGGATGGACTTAGTTCCTCTCCTGTTTAATCCATGGTATGGTAGTTCAGTTTCAGAGGTGGGATCATCAGGATGGAAGGACCAAATGAGTTTAACTGTACCATCCTGTAAAAACAACATAATTTATTTCGCTAATATCATAGAAACGGCCTTTTATTCTATGATTAAAAAGTTATTCTATTTCACAGCTGTACTAAAAGAAGCATTTCCTTACATCAATTGGCCAATCAAGGTCGTCACATGTGTCTAACAAACGCCAAAACTTCAGGATGGTCCACCCATCTTTCTCGAGTCCATAGTCGAGGTAATAGTCCTGTTTATCATCAATTGTCGGTGTCTTTTCAGAATCATTGGTGTGTCTATCCTGAAATGATATTAACAAGACGTGTGTACCATTGAAAGCACAATGGCTTAGACGACAATAAAGCACAATGTTTATACAAAAACATCAAGGTATAGTCATAAATATAAGTAAAATATGTATCATGTGTTGATTGTATGTACCTTAAAATATACTGTTCCGTCAGCTCCTACCCATCCTATTATCATATCTGATCGTTTCATTCCTCCATTGGGTGAGAATCCAAATCCGACGTATCCAAGTGTATTTGCGTGAACCTCAAAAGTGATTGTTTCATTTGTGTAATTCCAGTAAATGTGGTAAGTATCCTTTGTTGATAGAGCCGCATTGTAGTCATATTGGTCCGTTGGGTCAGGGCGTGCAGCATTAGCCAATGCACAGTGTCCATATAGTAGAAACAGCGCAATTGTTAAAAATCCAATCATTTTGCAACGTTGAGGTGTAAAACAGAACTTAATACATTGATTACGTACGTGCACAATTGTATATCTTGACATGCACTCTTTGAACTAACAGATTTATCTTTTGTTTCGAAAACATAATGACCTCATAGAGATTTAATTTTCGAAAAATATATGATCGCATATGGAGGGTCTCCTATCAAAAAAGTATTTTATGATTTGAATTTCCAGTTCTAGAACACATTTGGTATTTAAAATTCCACTTACTTCATTTTACTCAAAATCTAGGCTACTTATACGTTACAAGAATATACTCCAAATGAAGACTACATGTATAGACTTTAGGATATACCAGTGTAACCTCTGAAAACTCGACCATTTTCAATCTCAATGAAACTAGATTTTTATTATAGACGTAGATGTAGCGATTCGAAAAATGTAATCAAAAACGGTCGGTCAACGGATCAGTTTTTTCATAAAAAGCTTCTGAAAATATGCATGACGTTATCATTTGAACATTTGAGGCGCCATTGATTTCAAAGCAAAAAAACATATTTACCTATATTTTTTTTCAAATGATAATTTAGAGAGTATTGACGATTTTCTCGAGCCTAGATAAACTTCCTTTATACATAATTACGTTGGTTCGAATATTGGTACATTTTTCTTACTTTTTTCACTTAAAGTGTTACCCCTACCCTTACGATATTTGTCAGATTTTGTAACGTTTTTCCATTAATAATAAAACGTTTGCATTTTCGCATTTTGACACGTTTGAATCGAAAATTAGGCTACGCAAATTTCGAATGGATTGTGGTATTATTTTCATTTGCTTATTCTAAAAAATGTGTTCTCATGTTTATTTTGATATTATAAAAACATAGGGTCAGCGGTCTGTTTTACGCTTGAAAATGCTGTTGAAGATTGATGTGATATAACGATGATACAAAAGCCACTGGTCAATTCGCGTCAATAATTTAACGAAATCTATGAAATTCAACAATGTTCTGTCTTTATGAACTACCTTCACAAGTATAGCCTAGCTTACAGATCAGGCATGAATGCTTTTACTCATGATATATATAGCATGCGTGCTCTTTGGGTTGCTAAAGAGGCATGACACTGATTTTTAGCGTTCCCCCCACCACTACGAATAAGATTTTAGGGAGAACTGTGATATTATTTCAATGATAGAATTGCTATATTGTTCTGATATATATTGTTCTGTTCTACAGCATGTGTTACTAGTACAGAGATAAAGTATATCTTATGGTTATTGGCTGTTATCCAATGGTTACAAGGATATACATCGAATATCAGGTGAAGATATATTTGATATGTGGATCAAGATATGATATTTTAGCAAAAAATCCCCAAACCATCGAATATCACTTCTCAAACCATCGAATATCACTTCTCAAAAAGTGATATTCGATGGTTTCAAAAGTGAATTTCGATGGTTTCAAAAGTGATATTCGATGGTTTAGATTTTTCAATAATTTTTTGTCAATTTTTTTTCAAATTTTTTTTTCAAAGATTTTCTTTAAAGAAAATTTTTTTCTTAAATTTTTTTTTTAGATTTTTTCCTTCAATTTTTTTTTTCAAAAATCTTTTTCGAAATCTTTTTTATAATTTTTTTTTTCATTTTTTTTCGCTGGGTTAAGATTTCCCATGGGATAAACGGACAATCCTATGGTTTTTCAAAAATATCAATTATATCCACTCATGGATATCAATATTTTTATTTTATTTATTTATTGGAATCACTTTTAAAACAGTGGCACACACATTGAAAATGTGGTGCATCCACATACAAACATGCATACAATTACAGTCAAAATTAAAATACATAATGTCACTAAAATACATCAATCCTTATTATAGGGAATATAAATTGCTTTCAGATATTTCTTTACACATTGATCTAAAATATGACCTTGTTCATTTCCCCAGTCAATGAAAGCTTTATCACCCATGGTCAAGCATATTTTAATTGGAATATTAGCAGAAATAAGGCTAGATGACAGTTGTTCATTACAGGAGTTTATCACGTTCAGAAAGAAGTTAGTTCTTTCATTGTTAAAAGTAATATCTTCACTCATTCGATGCGCTCACTCGTAAAGATATCAATATCCACTCATGGATATAAATGATATTTTTTCAAAACCATAGGATATTCCTATAATATCTTTATTAGTTTAAGAAATACAATAAATAGGGAAAATGATAATTTTTTGTCATTTATTAGTCTCACTAATGCTATACTTGTAGTTTTAAACAAAAGGTGATAGCTTATTTCAGATTTGTAACTTCAATCAAGATGTGATAGAAAAAATTGGCGACCAATTACTTTGCTAAATATTGATTATAAAATTGCATCCAAATCAATAGCACAGAGAATAAATGCTGTTCTAGGTAAAATTATTGGATCGGATCAAACTGCTTTTATTGAAGGGAGGTTTATCGGAGAAAATATTCGCTATGTCGAGGATCTTTTGGAATACACCAAGAAGAGGGGTATACATGGAATCGTTTGTATGGTGGATTTTCTCAAAGCCTACGACAGTGTCGAGTTTGATTATATTGAGCATGTACTAAGGGTGTTTAACTTCGGAGATGACCTGATCCGATGGGTTAAGATGTTTAATAATGATATTAAAAGTTGCGTCCTTAACAACAACGTGTCGACTGGCTGGTTTAGTGTTAAGCGCTCATGCAGGCAGGGGGACCCGATCAGTTGCTTGAATTTTTTACTTGTTATAGAGATGCTAGCCTTAAAAATTAGACAAGACAATGGTGTACAGGGAGTTGACATTGGCGAGTCAAGTCAAAAACTAGCGATTTTTGCAGATGATACCACGTTGACTCTTAAGGACGTAACGTCATTACAAAAAGCATTGGACATCTTTGAAGATTTCAGACTAATATCAGGTTTATGTATTAATAGAGAAAAAACAGAGTGTATGTATATTGGAAGTGATCGTCATAATAATGAAATAAACCTTTTTGGTCTGAAATGGGTAAAGATACCAAGTAGACTTTTAGGGATAAAAATATCATATGACACAAATGCAAATAACACGGATAATTTTGAGAGAAAGTTAAATATGCTTGAAAAGGTTCTTATATTGTGGTCAAAGCGAGATCTTACTTTTTATGGAAAGGTACTCATAATTAAGTCCCAGGCAGTGTCGAAGCTAATATACTCGATGACAATGACCAATACGCCTGATGATATCTTGACGAAGGCTCAACGACTAGTCTATTCTTTTTTATGGGGAGGAAAGGGTGAGAAAATTAAGCGAAATACTTTAATAGGGGATTTTGAGGATGGGGGTCTCAGAATGATTAATATGTTCACAATGGAGAAAGCCTTGAAATTAATGTGGTTAAGACGTTTACTTGACACACGAACTAGTCACTGGAAGCTTATTCCTCAAGTTTATTTCAAACGTCTTGGAGGACTGAGTTTTTTGTTGCAGTGTAATTATGATATTAAAACTCTGGCACACAGTGTTCCTACCTTTTATATGAATTTGCTTCGAAACTATTCAGAATTAAGAAATAGGTCGCCGCCTAGAACCAGTTCAGGGGTTAAAGGTGAAATAATTTGGAATAACAAATCAATTCTAATTAATGATAAGGAGGTGATGTACAAACATGTCATGGAAAAGGGGGTCATTTATATTAATGACCTTCTTAACGAGAATGGGGCTTTTTTACAGTACAATGAGTTTAAGACTAAGTATAATATTAATATCAATTTTCTTGAGTATTTTTCAATCATATCGGCTATACCAAATGATTGGAAATTTCTATTGAAATCAGATTTAAGTTCGACCTTTGAACCCAGCATACAGGAAGAACTCGTGTATTTGAAACTTGGTGAAAAACAGGTGACAATCTCTAGTATAACGGTTAAATCAATTCAAACAATATTAAATGGAACCAAGTTCTTGGAACCGTTATATAAAGACAAACATGATCGTGAATTAAAGAGAACCGATTATTTTAAAATGCCTTATATGTGTACGAAACAGAATAAAACGCGACAACTTCAGTTTAAAATACTTCATGGTATCTGCACTACAAATGCCTTTTTAGCGCAGATAGGCATTAAAAATGACTCTAAATGTAACTATTGTGCCTTTCGAGATACGTTAAAACACAAATTCTGGGAGTGCAAAAGAATTCAAATATTTCTGGAAGCAATCAAAGGGAATTTAAAGCGTTTATTTAAAGTTGATTTCGATTTTAACGCCCATGACATGGTTTTTGGAAGGCAAGCTAATAAGAAAAATATCTTACCAAATAGACTTACCCTTGCAATTAAGTACTATATTTTTATTAAAGAGTTCGACGAAGTGAATCCCAATTTGTATGAGGCGCAATTTGAAAAAAATATGTTTTATTATGTACCTGAACTTAAAAGTATGACTGTTGCAAATGTCTGAATGAATGGAGGTGGTGTGAAAAATATCTGAACTGTTCTAATTATTGTACTTGTACTGTTTGAATAGAGAAATAAAAAAAAAAAAAAAAAAAAAAAAAAAAAAAAAGATGTGATAGTCCATGGAAGACCTAATGGCTTCCTTAATCGTTTTGATGTGTCCGTACTTTAGCTATATGTATGTGAAAATGTGATGGCTACTAGAAACACCAGTGGGATGCTAGCTTGGGCCATTGTTCCCATTCCACCAACTGATTCAGTGGAAGGTGAAAGCGTGACAGCATTTTGGGTTGTAGTAAACGTTGGATCAAGACACACCCTTGGTTTCTTCTCTAAAGTCTTCGTTATGTTCTGTGGTGGCAAAAATTTGGAATCCTGAAAAAGTCACATTGAATTATCAAAAAATCTAAAATTGTGAATCAGCTCAACAAAAAGTATTATTCAGCAGTCAGTAAAATTAAAACACACGTGTTATGAAAACACTGTCACACACTTACACTGGACACTGAACATAAAGGAAATGATATAACCATCCCTAACATACTAAATGACGATCACTAAACTTAGATATATGATCTCTTACTGGGTAATAGACGTGCGCAAGTGACTGTCTACAAAGTGCTAAACGTCCGGCGTTGTATGTAATATCTTGAAACCTCTCCCTCACAGTGGCATTTGTCCAGTCTACTTCAGTTCTTAAAATGTCTTTAAAATGTCTTCCTGTCCATTTTTCAGGCTCCACCACTCGAACGTCAAAGTATCTGTAATCGTCTTCTGACTCACTGAAATAAATTACAAAATTATTTGATCAAATCTAATACACAAAACTATTAGACATTAAATACCCGATGATGAATGTTTGGCCTTTTTTAGACAATTACTAAGGAATTTCAATAGGAATATATAAGCGCAAATGCCAAAAGGGAAGGGTGACTAAAAACTTAAAGAAACCAAACAAGAAAAGCAAACTGTAAGTGTAAATCTGTCATAAGAAAAGTATACCCTATATATCCCAAAACCATGATCTAACGTGAAAAGAAACAATGTCTAACACCGCTCCGCTCCGCTCATCTCCGCCCCCTCCAATCGAGAACCAATATCACAATCCAGGACCAGAACACCAAGGGACATTTCATTCATACTGAAGTCATTACAATACATGTTGAAGAAAAATTGAAAAATTGATAGCCAATACTCATAACATCAAAAATAGTTGTAGATACTAGTACTCATAAAAGATTTCTAGATACATATTTCAGATCAGTCAAGCCAAGTAACTAAGTCAACATTCGAAAATAAAAATCTCAAAAATCGTACATCTTTGATTTCCAAAATAATTTGTGAGGTGGTTATTAAGATGATAATACATCTTTTAACGTATTAATTTTGAGTACATCTTGAATCCATTCTCAACAAAGCTTTGTCTAAATAAGGATTCGAAATATTTGAGTTCGGGATCATAAAAGTACGTTAAGATATACCGCTCCTTAACAAACTCCTTTGGGAACAAGATATAGAATCAAATGCATATTCTTCTTATTTACTCCCTGACACATGCCAACGAATGTTACATCAGTTAATATCTCCGTTTTAAATAATTTTGTAAAACGTTGTTCTCTACAGGTGCCATTTTTACAATTGAAAAACAAAATTGAACATTTTGCATTTCTAAATTGATAAGTTTCTTGGAATACAACTTAACTGTTAACGATTTAAGTCATTAATAATATTTCCCTCAGTGATCCCATGCTAAATAGACAGTAACTAGGTTATTATTTTGTGTTCAACCTTGTTTTCATGACTTTTAAACATGAGTCGACAATTATGTAGGAAATTTCAATTCCAAATGTAAGCGTGTCAACTCCTGTTTTTGCACAAAATTTAGCCTTTTATAAAGATAGATCGCCAAAATCTGCATGTACCTCTCAATGAGGCGACACATTTTTAAATTTATAGATGCTGAGCTCTAAACTCAAACAAAAATTCAAACCACCCGCTATTATTTTGATTACACAAGACGAAATTTCCACTCCCGGGGAGCACTGTGGTAACACTTTGAAGGAGGATTCTTGAAAAATCGTTCGAATTTTCACAAAGGTTTCACGCAGTTTTATTGCTTTGTTTAAGCCTCGACTAAAATCATACTCAAATCCGATACCATAATTATAAATTAAAATGAAACATTAAACTCAGGTCAGGTTATATGATAAACCGTTTCGAGAATTGATGATTTGAGTTAACTGTGTATATTTAAATAAATGAAAGTCGGCATGTATTCGACAGTTAATGTAGACACATGTTGATGCATCCACGTGTGACTTAAATATCGATTCATGACTATCATATTTGGCTTTCAAAAATTAAGTTGGAAGTTACAGTGGTTGGAGATTAACGAAAACGTCAGTCACATCCGAATATCCGAACGACGTCAAGTATTAACAATACCCTTTTTGTGCATCTCGAACAAGGCAAGGTTCTGTGATCCAGCAATGTGCATTCCGAAAGAAAAAATTCACAAATATCAACAAATTTCATTGAGTTGGATATTACATTCGAAATCACAACTTTCGAAATGTTTGTTTTAAACAAGAATTGTAAGAACTTAAAACATGTTGTTAGTTTTTTAAACCGCATATCCTCATTTACGTTCTTTGACAAGGATGAATTCATTTGAAAACATGGATTTTCTTGATTATTCTTCAAAACTACCCTTGAAATATAAGTGTGTGGGATATTACAGTATAAATTGACACGCATTTGTTTCCTCCATGTCATGAAAAAATAAATGCAGTACCATCTTTCAATATTTGAAAACAAAAAGTTCATTCTGTATGTAAACAAGAAAAAAATACATTTATGGTTGATTCATAATGAAAAATGACAAATAACATACATGTTTTTAAGTAGGGGTATACAGGGACATAGTGGAAATTCAGAAATTTAGGCCATATCCCAAAGACTGCTTCACCAATATGTAACAGAACATCAAATTTATCATTTACACGTTTGCTGATAGGTTTATTGAAAATAATTAAACAGAGGTTTACTTCAATTGTGGCACCATTCTTAGTTAATATTGATGGACATACGAATATCGAATGTTGACTAAGTTACTTGGCTTGACCGAGATGTGAGACTACATTATATAAGAACGTGGGTCGTCAAAAAATATTGAAGTTTCTGCTCTGATCCAAAACAAACATAATATTTCCTAACTAAAATTTGGTCCTCATCATCCCCTTATTTTTCGCATTTATGACTACATAACATTTTGTGAGTTGCTATATTAGTAAACAGGAGAAATGCGTGGTGAGCAGGTGCAGTTCTTTATAATTTCTTCACACAGATGACCCATCAAAAACAATTGAAACGCTAAATTGTTTGAATTTAAGGGTGAGCTGTTTCCTTTTAAAAAAATCCTGAATGAATACATGAACCGATACGTTATCGTCATAGTGTTTCTGATACAATTCAAATAGCAATATATACATTTGAACCGTAGGTCAAAGTTAAGGAATTGAAATGGAAAATGGCTCTGTCCCCTTTTATATCACTAGTTTTAATGATTTACCTTCATTATTATAAGTCAAGGTGCCAATTTACGATTAAAACATGTAAACATTTTAAGACGGACCCTTTTTGTGCAAGACCTCACCACGACCTGAAAATCCATGGTAAGAAAGAAGCTCACGTTGTTTCAGTGACTCCTGCAATTGACAACAGCTCACTTGTTCTGGAGACCGTTTGGCATGTCGTCATGTTTATTCTTGGATAATACATAATGTATGCTATACACATCTCCTCCAGTGTCCCCAGTCCACCCTACAATAAAAACTCTGTGTGTAAACGCTCTACGTATAGAACAGTAAAATCAAAAAGTAATACAATGGACAACATTAGCAAAGGAAAACTCAAACAGCTTCCAACTAACAAAATCTGAAAATCGTGCCATGATGTTAACATTACAAGGTAATCAACATCATACCTAATAGTAGTGTACAAACCCTAGTCAACGAGAGGTAGAGAAGGTTGATGGACTACGATATAATTTGCCAAGCATGTCCAAAAAATAACCATTTTCTGGATTTTCATACCAAGAAGCATCCATGTGAAAATTAAATCCAGTCCAGTGGTTAGTTTGCCAGAAAGCAATTGCGAGACTTTAATCTTGTAACGGAAAATCAAATGCAGTCATCTTCAAATTTGCAATTTGTATACCAAAAAACATATCTGAACATTTCAAATCAACCTGTCAAATGGTTTGCATGAATATTAGTTTTATTAGATGGATATGAAACATGATGTTTTGCTTTGTCTAAACAGGAAGAGGTTTACATCATTTTTATAAAAGTATAAAGTTTATGTAATTCCAACCTCCAAAATGATTTGTGTTATTCATATGACCAATTGTTATCTCACCCAGGTTACTGTGTCCTTGCTGGTGGTGTCATATCTACATTCAACACGCAATTCGTCACCCTGAAATCATAATTTAGTTTGAAACATCATATTCAGTCAAGCCGAGTAACTAAGTCAACATTCGAAAATAAAAATCTCAAAAATCGCACATCTTTGATTTCAAAAATAATTTGAGAGGTGGTTAATAAAATGATAATACACAATTTTACGTATTAATTTTGAGTACATCTCGAATCCATTCTCAATTAAGCGTTCTCAAAATAAGTATTCCAAAATATTTGAGTTCGGGATGATAAAAGTACGTTAAGATATACCGCTCCTTAACAAACTTCTTTGGGAACAAGATATTAATCAAATGCATATTCTTCTTATTTACTCCCTGACACATGCCAACGAATGTAACAGATAAGTAAATATCTCCGTTTTAAATAATTTTGTGAACGTTGTTCTCTACAGGTGCCATTTTTATAATTAAAAAACAAAATTGAACATTTTGCATTTCTAAATTGATAAGTTTCTTGGAATGCAACTTAACCGTTGACGATTTAAGTTATTAATAATATTTCCCTTAGTGATCCCATGCTAAATAGACAGTAACTGGGTCATTGTTTTGTGCTCAACCTTGTTTTCATGACTTTTAAACATGAGTCAACAATTATGTAGGAAATTTCAATTCCAAATGTAAGCGTGTCAACTCCTGTTTTTGCACAAAATGTAGCCTTTTATTATGATAGATCGCCAAAATCTGCATATACCTCTCAATGAGGCGACATGTTTTTAAATTTATAGATGCTGAGCTATAAACTCGAACAAAAATTCAAACCACCCGCTATTATTTTGATTATACAAGACGAAATTTCCACTCCCGGGGAGCACTGTGGTAACACTTTAAAGGAGAATTCTTGAAAAATCGTTCGAATTTTCAAAAAAGGTTTCACGCAGTTTTATTGCTTTGTTTAAGCCTCGACCAATTTCATACTCAAATCCGATACCATAATTATAAATTAAAATGAAACATTAAACTCACCAGGTTATCTGATAAACCGTTTTGAGAATTGATGATTTGAGTTAACTGTGGATATTTATATAAAATATAAGTTGGCATGTATTCGACCGTTAATGTACACACATGATGTATGCATCAACGTGTGACTTAAATATCAATTCGTGACTATCATATTTGGCTTTCAAAAATTAAGTTGGAAGTGACAGTGGTTGGAGATTAACGAAAACGTCAATCACATCCAAATATCCAAACGACGTCAAGTATTAACAATACACTTTTCGTGCATCACGAACAAGGCAAGGTTCTGTGATCCAGCAATGTGCATTCCGAAAGAAAAAATTCACAAATATCAACAAAGGTGTACCCCCATTAAGGAGAGCTTTTTAGAATGCTGCAACTCTTTTATTCTATAAGTTATCATCATGGAATTTTGACACTTTTTTGGAAATGAGGTGGATTTTGATATACCAAAAGACAACATGTGTTATAAAAAAATTATTTTTTTAAGAACATATTTAGCAAAGCCATGAACTCATTTTTTAAGGTTAGACCCTTTACTTGTGATTCAATCATTGCAATGCCTTATATAAGATAGAAGCAAAGTGTGACAGTTGTAAGATACCTAGTTATCAGAAATCTTAGAAAATGAAAATAAATGAAAGGCGCGCCCCTAGAAATATGTTTTTGAGACCTTTTTCCACTTTTCCCATGTTAAAAGATAGGAGGCTCAGATTCCCGGGGATTGACTAGTTATTTTTCAAGTTTTATACGCTTTTAATGATTAATTATTTTAAAGAGGGAAGCACCGTTTCATTGTTTTCAAGTCAAAAGGGAATATGTAGATAGTAAAACGAATGAATTAAATTCAACATATTATAATCGGAGTCCAGTCTCGTGTTGCGGATTTATCAAAATGTAGCTTCATATGTGTTATTTGCGTATCCTGGTTCGTTTACACACCTCAAACATCCGTTTTAATTTACTCACAGTTCACAGTCAGCGGGCAGATACAGCTTAACGTCTCGGCCTGAACGGGTGTTTTATATCTGCCCGCTACGTTACAATGGCCTTTCGTAAGTTGGTGGAATGGCAAAAAATGAAGACGATCGCGATCTGTTTGCTGATTGAAACAAGGGAAGGAATAGACTGTACTCTTCCCTGTAAATGATCAAAGATACGAAAATGTAAATGTAGATAATATCTGATTGAAAGAACAGGAAAATCCTACTACGGTCAAGAAAACAAAACTTAACATGACTATTCTAAAAAAATCCCTACGGTTGATTTTTTCTGAACTCGGCCAATTGAACAATACAACTAGTTGAGCAAGATTGTTGGGGGAATAAACAGATCATCTTATAGTCGGTTAAGGATATTGGGATTATCCCTGGGCCAATATAATGTGTCTACCCTCGGGACCTACAGGTACGACCTTCGGGCAGATATATTGTTATCATTATAGAAGTGTATATTGGCCTCGGGATAATCCAAATATCTCGAACCTTATATAGGATAATTTCTATGTACTTCCGACAAGTGGCAGGAATCTTTACTTTCTTGCTAAGCGGGCAGATGATTTGATTCTGTCTTACAGAATCTCCGCCGCTCGCCATCAGTGTTAATCGTCGCCATCAGAGTGGTATGGGATAAAAATACCAATCTGTAGTCGGTTCCATTCTATATCTGTCCTTGAAACCCATGCCTCGAGGTCTTGGGGAAATGTATTATATTGACTTTGGGATAATCTAAACAACCAGAACCTCATATACCAGCTCATATACCCGAATTCATATTCATATTTCCCCTCCTCGAAAAGCCGTTAGTGATGCCTGCTTTATTAATTATTTCATTGGTTCTTTTTATTGATTGGCATTTTTGATTTGTTTAAGATATCGATTTATGTTTCGATAACAAAAGGTTTTTAAGAACAATATTTTGATTAGTTTCGGGAGTGACTACTAGAGGATAAGGGGAATTGGGATCCTTATGGGAGATGAAAACGGAAATAAAACTTTAGTCAAAAATTAAATACTGCCAAAATCCATTCATAAAATGCATTACAATATTCTCTCCAAATGAAATACAGCTTTTCACAATGATGATTGAATCCAAAACCCAGATTATTTTGAGTGATATGTTTTATTCCTGAGTTGACCTTAAATATTTCATACCTAAGAGGCAAAATGATCTGGTATTAGGTTTTGATCACACGTTGATTTTCAATAATTCATAAAATTAAAACATGTCATTCAAGTTTACAAAATGGCTGTACATATACGATATCAGCCGTATGAGTAGCACACGAGAATATCAGAAAAATCAATGGGTGTTATTGTACAGATTACACAATAATCGTTGGATAAAGTTAAGTATTAAACATAAGCAATGCAAGGATATGACAATTGTCAAGTGTGATCATCCGTTATATGAGTTATATAAAGGTCGGTTTCCATTTTTGAGTATAATTGAATATAACAATTGCTAATAATCATTTCCAATACGAGAAGCCATTCACCAAACCGGATTGCTCATCTCTCGTACTATGCTGTTTTTGCATTCTGTCTCAAATAAAATAAATCTAAAGCTTACTTAATTGAACAAACAAAATGCACATTCAGATTTATCAATTATCACATATAATATATTTTTATTCAAAATTCTATTCTACATATACTACAACTGTTATTTAATTACATCCGGACAATACTATATGTCATGTTGATGATATTCTGCAACAATTAATTATCTGTGTAGCCTCATCGGAGCTACTTCAATCGAACTACACTGTACTCTTCAAACTAGGTAACAAAATATCGTCATGTCATCTCGAAGTTAAGATTTCCTTTTTCCTTATTTCACGAATTGTTTCGAGGACATTTTTATTACGAACGTTTGTCAGTTTCATATGCTTTAATAAGAACACCATTTTTTGCGAACAGATAATTCAGAAGACAATAGAATCATCCTACCGTTTACGTAATACTAGTGAGATATTATATTGATGAGACTGTCGTCTTTTGAACGATCGCTCATCACAAACTTGCATATTCCCTTAAACATACTCTGACACATACGTTTTTGCTAAAAATGTCATGAAAACTATCTACAGATCGTGAAATAAGGCAAAAGAAACATCATTAAATCTTCGATGTTCCCACATATTGTCACTAATGCCTGGGTCATTGAGTGTTTTGTTCAATATTGTATTTAATTTTAAACAAAATACTCAATCGGCCGGGCGCCGTAGTGAAAATCGGAGGAAGTGTGACCAGGGCATAAACGAGTACTTTTCAGTAACTACATGTTGTTTGAAGAGTGCAGTAGTTTAATGTGTGAGAGTTTTCAATTTCAATTTCCATCCTGTACATGATAATTACATATTATCCAAATTGAACATTTTCTTACATAATCTAAAACTAATTTTCGATAACAATAACAAATACAACAATATAACAATATATGTGCGCACATGAATGAGAGCCATGAAAATGTCACTTTTGAAGACAACGCAAACGAGAATGAAACATTCCCAAACATTAGAACTGGAGAAAGGAGTGTACAATTTGTTGAAAACGTTCAAAAGAATTACCGTATGTTAAATGATCACATTTTAAGTAAAACTAATATATAAAATACGATGAGTTGATAAATCGAAACAATATACAAATAGAGTCAAGTGGACATTTTAGGCAACTATTTGAAAAATGTAAGGATCTAGTACAACATTTTATAATTCATACTATATATGGCAGCTAATATTTTCTGATATTTGTCAAAATACAGTAATGGCAACTATGACAAATCATTAAAGATATTTTATTCGAATTCCATGATGATGAAACCTGTACATTTATTTCAAATGACGGCTACCGCTTAATCTATTGAAACTGCAACCATACTTCAAGTTAATTACTGGTTCTTTACAATTTGTTATTATGCGGCTAGTTAATTATGTTAATTGTAGCAACGATTGGAGTCTGATTGCAGTTTGCATGGAGCTAATTATAAAGTCAATCAACCTGCAAAATGTGCGCCGTGTTATTATTGGTTCTCA